CCTACCGATGCCGACACCGACCACCACCCCCCCAACCCGACCCCACCCCGCCGACCCACCCCCCGCCCCCCGCCGCTGCCTTACCTCGGGGGAATAAGGAAGCGGCCGCGGCCGGGAACGAGGCCGAGGCCGCCACCCTGGCTGCCACCCCCCCGGCTGCCACCCCCACTCCGACGCCGCCCCCGCCCCCCGCCGACCCCCCCCACCGATGCCGACAACCACACCGACCACCACCCCCCCAACCCGAAACCCCCCCGCAGACCCCCCCCCACTGCCTTACCTCAGGGGAATAAGGAAGCGGCTGCGACAGGGAACGAGGCCGAGGCCGCCACCCTGGCTGCCACCCCCACTCCGACGCCGACCCCGCCCCACGCGGACCCCCCCACCGATGCCGACACCGACACCGACCACCACCCCCCAAACCCGAACCCCCCCCCGCCCCCCCCCCCCCCCCGCCGCTGCCTTACCTCGGGGGAATAACGCAGGCGGAAGGGAACGAGGCCGAGGCTGCCACCCTGGCTGCCACCCCCACTCCGACGCGGACGCCCACTCACCCCGCCGACCCCGCCCCATGCCGACCCCCCCCACCAATGCGGACAGCCACACCAAACACCACCCCCCCAACCCGACCCCCGGCCCCCCGCCGACCACCCCCTGCCTTCCCTCAGGGGAATAAGAAAGCGGCTGCGGCAGGGAACGAGGCCGAGGCCGCCACCCTGGCTGCCACCCCCACTCCGACGCCGACGCGGACGCCCACCCACCCCGCCGACCCCGCCCCGCCGACCCCCCCACCGATGCCGACACGACACGACCACCCCCCCCCAAACCCGACCCCCCCCGCCGACCCCCCCCCCGACCCCCCCCGCCGCCTTACCTCGGGGGAATAAGAAGCCGCTGCGGCCGGGAACGAGGCCGAGGCCGCCACCCTGGCTGCCACCCCCACTCCGACGCCGACGCGGACGCCCACCCACCCCGCCGACCCCGCCCCCCGCCGACCCCCCCCCCATGCCGACACAGACACGGACCACCACCCCCCCAACCCGACCCCCCCGCCCGCCGACCCCCCCCCTGCCGCGGCCTTACCTCGGGGGAAAAACGAAGCGGCCGCGGCCGGGAACGAGGCCAAGGCAGCCACCCTGGCTGCCGCCCTGGCTGCCACCCCCACTCCGACGCCGACCCCGCCCCCCGCGGACCCTCCCACCGATGCCGACACCGACACCGACCACCACCCCCCCAACCCGAACCCCCCCCCCCGACCCCCCCCCGCCCTGCCTTACCTCAGGGGAATAACGAAGCGGCCGCGGCCGGGAACGAGGCCAAGGCACCCATCCTGGCTTCCACCCTGGCTGCCACCCCCACTCCGACGCCGACCCCCCCACCGATGCCGACACCGACACCGAACAACACCCCCGCAACCCGAAACCCCCCCCACCGACCGCCCCCCGCCGCTGCCTTCACTCGGGAGAATAATGAAGCCACCCTGGCTGCCACCCCCACTCCGACGCCGACCCCGCCCCCCGCCGACCCCCCCACCGATGCCGACACCGACCGACCCCCCCCAACCCGAACCCCCCCGCCGACCCCCCCCGCCGACCCCACACCGATGCCGACACCTACACGGACCACCCCCCCCCCAAACCGAACCCCGCCCTCCGCCGCCCCCCCCCCCCCCCGCTGCTTACCTCGGGGGAATAACGAAGCGGACGCGACCCGGAATGAGGCCGAGGCCGCCACCCTGGCTGCCACCCCCACTCCGACGCCGACGCCCACCCACCCCGCCGACAACCCCCAACGATGCAGACACCGACACCGACCACCACGCCCCCAACCCGAACCCCCCCCCCCCCCCCCCCCCCCCCCGCCCGCTGCCTTACCTCGGGGAAATGAAGCGGCCGCGGCCGGGAAAGAGGACGAGGCCGCCACCCTGGCTGCCACCCCCACTCCGACGCCGACGCCCACCCACCCCGCCGACCCCGCCCCCGCCGACCCCCCCATGCCGACACGACACCGACCACCACCCCCCCAACCCGACCCCCCCGCCCGCCGACCCCCCCCCGCCGCTGCCTTACCTCGGGGGAAAAACGAAGCGGCCGCGGCCGGGAACGAGGCCAAGGCACCCACCCTGGCTTCCACCCTGGCTGCCACCCCCACTCCGACGCCGACCCCGCCCCCCGCCGACCCCCCCACCGATGCCGACACCGACACCGAACACCCCCCCAACCCGAAACCCCCCCCACCGCTGCCTTCACTCGGGAGAATAATGAAGCCACCCTGGCTGCCACCCCCACCCGACGCCGACCCGCCCCCCCCCGACCCCCCCCACTCCGACCGACCGACCCCGCCCCCACCCGACCCCCCCACGCCGACCCCCCCCGCCGACCCCCACCCCCCCAACCCGAACCCCCCCCCGCCGACCCCCCCGCCCTGCCTTACCTCAGGGGAATAAGAAGCGGCTGCGACAGGGAACGAGGCCGAGGCCGCCACCCTGGCTGCCACCCCCACTCCGACGCCGACGCCCACCCCCCCGCCGACCCCCGCCCCCCGGCGACCCCCACCCTGCCGCGGCCTTACCTCGGGGGAATAACGAAGCGGCCGCGGCCGGGAACGAGGCCCAGGCTGCCACCCTGGCTTCCACCCTGGCTGCCACCCCCACTCCGACGCCGACCCCGCCCCACGCGGACCCCCCCACCGATGCCGACACCGAACACCACCCCCCCAACCCGAACCCCCCCCCGCCGACCCCCCCCGCCCTGCCTTACCTCAGGGGAATAAGGAAGCGGCTGCGACAGGGAACGAGGCCGAGGCCGCCACACTGGCTGCCACCCCCACTCCGACGCCGACGCCCACCCTCCCCGCCGACCCCGCCCCCCGGCGACCCCCACCCTGCCGCGGCCTTACCTCGGGGGGAAAAACGAAGCGGCCGCGGCCCGGAACGAGGCCAAGGCAGCCACCCTGGCTGCCACCCGCACTCCGACGCCAACCCCGCCCCCCGCGGACCCCCCCACCGATGCCGACACCGACACCGACCACCACACCCCAAACCCGAACCCCCCCCACGCAGACCCCCCCCCCCGCCGCCGCCTTACCTCGGGGGAATAACGAAGCGCAGGCGGAAGGGAACGAGGCCGAGGCTGCCACCCTGGCTGCCACCCCCACTCCGACGCGGACGCCCACTCACCCCGCCGACCACGCCCCATGCCGACCCCCCCACCGATGCCGACCCCGACCACCACCCCGCAAACCCGACTCCCCAATCCCGCCGACCACCCCCACCCGACCCCCCGCCGCTGCCTTACCTCGGGGGAATAAGAAGCCGCTGCGGCCGGGAACGAGGCCCAGGCCGCCACTCTGGCTGCCACCCTGGCTGCCACCCCAACTCCGACGCCGACGCGGACGCCCACCCACCCCGCCGACCCCGCCCCCCGCCGCCCCCCCCCCCATGCCGACACAGACACGGACCACCACCCCCCAACCCGACCCCCCCGCCCCCCCCCCCGCCGACCCCCCCCCCGCCCCCCGCCGCCTTACCTCGGGGGAATAACGAAGCGGCCGCGGCCGGGAACGAGGCCCAGGCCGCCACCCTGGCTGCCACCCTGGCTGCCACCCCCACTCCGACGCCGACCCCGCCCCCCGCGGACCCCCCCCACCGATGCCGACAACCACACCGACCACCACCCCCCCAACCCGAACCCACCCCCTCCGACCCCCCCCCCCACTGCCTTACCTCAGGGGAATAAGGAAGCGGCTGCGACCGGGAACGAGGCCGAGGCCGCAATCCTGGCTGCCACCCCCACTCCGACGCCGACCCCGCCCCCGCGGACCCCCCCACCGATGCCGACAACCACACCGACCACCACCCCCCAACCCGAACCCCCCCCGCCGACCCCCCCCCCCGCCGCTGCCTTACCTCGGGGGAATAACGAAGCGCAGGCGGACGGGAACGAGGCCGAGGCCGCCACCCTGGCTGCCACCCCCACTCCGACGCGGACGCCCACTCCCCCCGCCGCCCCCGCCCCCCGCCGACCCCCCCACCGATGCCGACACCGACACCGACCACCCCCCCAACCCGAACCCCCCCCCGCCGACCCCCCCCCCGCCGCTGCCTTACCTCGGGGAATAAGGAAGCGGCTGCGGCCGGGAACGAGGCCGAGGCCGCCACCCTGGCTGCCACCCCCACTCCGACGCCGACGCCCACCCACCCCGCCGACCCCGCCCCCCGCCGACCCCCCCACCGATGCCGACCCCGACCACCACCCCGCAAACCCGACTCCCCAAGCCCGCCGACCACCCCCACCCGACCCCCCGCCGCTGCCTTACCTCGGGGGAATAAGAAGCCGCTGCGGCCGGGAACGAGGCCGAGGCCGCCACCCTGGCTGCCACCCCCACTCCGACGCCGACGCGGACGCCCACCCACCCCGCCGACCCCGCCCCCCGCCGACCCCCCCCATGCCGACACAGACACGGACCACCACCCCCCCAACCCGACCCCCCCGCCCGCCGACCCCCCCCCTGCCGCGGCCTTACCTCGGGGGAAAAACGAAGCGGCCGCGGCCGGGAACGAGGCCAAGGCAGCCACCCTGGCTTCCATCCTGGCTGCCACCCCCACTCCGACGCCGACCCCGCCCCCCGCCGACCCCCCGACCGATGCCGACACCGACACCACCCCCACCCCCCCAACCCGACCCCCCCCCCAGACCCCCCCCCGCCCTGCCTTACCTCAGGGGAATAAGGAAGCGGCTGCGGCCGAGAACGAGGCCGAGGCTGCCACACTGGCTGCCACCCCCACTCCGACGCCGACCCCCGACCCCCACCGATGCCGCACGACCGACCACCCCCCCACCGAACCCCCGCCGCCCCCGCCCCCCTGCCTTACCTCGGGGGAATAAGGAAGCGGCTGCGGCCGGGAACGAGGCCGAGGCCGCCACACTGGCTGCCACCCCGACTCCGACGCGGACGCCCACCCACCCCGCCGACCCCGCCCCCGCCGATCCCCCCCACCGATGCCGACCCCGACCACCACCCCGCAAACCCGACTCCCCAAGCCCGCAGACCACCCCCCCCCCCCGCCGCTGCCTTACCTCGGGGGAATAAGAAGCGGCTGCGGCCGGGAACGAGGCCCAGGCCGCCACCCTGGCTGCCACCCCACTCCGACGCCGACGCCCACCCACCCCGCCGACCCCGCCCCCGCCGACCCCCCCACCGATGCCGACACCGACCACCACCCCCCCAACCCGACCCCCCCCCCGCCGACCCCCCCCCCCGCCGCCTTACCTCGGGGGAATAACGAAGCGGCCGCGGCCGGGAACGAGGCCGAGGCCGCCACCCTGGCTGCCACCCCAACTCCGACGCCCACCCACCCCGCCGACCCCGCCCCCCGCCGACCCCCCACCGATGCCGACACCGACACCACCCCCCCCCCCAACCCCCCCCCCCCCCGCCCACCTCCCCCGCCGCTGCCTTACCTCGGGGGAATAAGGAAGCGGCTGCGGCCGGGAACGAGGCCGAGGCCGCCACCCTGGCTGCCACCCCCACTCCGACGCCGACCCCGCCCCCCCCGCCGCCGACCCCCCCACCGATGCCGACCCCGACACCGACCACCACCCCCCAACCCGAACCCCCCCCCACCGACCCCCCCCCCGCCGCTGCCTTACCTCGGGGAATAACGAAGCGGCTGCGGCCGGGAACGAGGCCGAGGCCGCCACCCTGGCTGCCACCCCCACTCCGACGCCGACGCCCACCACCCCGCCGACCCGCCCCCGCCGACCCCCCACCGATGCCGACACCGACCACCACCCCCCAACCCGAACCCCCCCCCGGCCGACCCCCCCCCCCCCCGCCGCTGCCTTACCTCGGGGAATAAGAAGCCGCTGCGGCCGGGAACGAGGCCGAGGCCGCCACCCTGGCTGCCACCCCCACTCCGACGCCGACGCCCACCCACCCCGCCGACCCCGCCCCCCGCCGACCCCCCCACCGATGCCGACCCCGACCACCACCCCCCCAACCCGACCCCCCCCCGCCGACCCCCCCCCCCCCCCCGCCGCTGCCTTACCTCGGGGGAATAAGAAGCGGCTGCGGCCGGGAACGAGGCCCAGGCCGCCACCCTGCCTGCCACCCCAACTCCGACGCCCCCCCCCCCCCCGCCGACCCCGCCCCCGCCGACCCCCCCTACCGATGCCGACACCGTACACGACCACCACCCCCCAACCCGAACCCCCCCCCGCCGACCCCCCCCCCGCTGCCTTACCTCGGGGAATAACGAAGCGGCTGCGGCCGGGAACGAGGCCGAGGCCGCCACCCTGGCTGCCACCCCCACTCCGACGCCGACCCCGCCCCCGCCGACCCCCCACCGATGCCGACACCGACACCGACCACCACCCCCCAACCCGAACCCCCCCGCCGACCCCCCCCCCGCCGCTGCCTTACCTCGGGGAATAACGAAGCGCGCGGCCGGGAACGAGGCCGAGGCTGCCACCCTGGCTGCCACCCCACTCCGACGCGACGCCCACCACCCCGCCGACCCCGCCCCCGCCGACCCCCCCTACCGATGCCGACACCGACCACCACCCCCCCAACCCGACCCCACCCCGCCGACCCACCCCCCCGCCGCTGCCTTACCTCGGGGAATAACGAAGCGGCTGCGGCCGGGAACGAGGCCGAGGCCGCCACCCTGGCTGCCACCCCCACTCCAACGCCGACGCCCACCCACCCCGCCGACCCAGCCCCCGCCGACCCCCCCACCGATGCCGACACCGACCACCACCCCCAAACCCGACTCCCCCCCCGCCGACCCCCCCCCGACCCCCGCCGCTGCCTTACCTCGGGGGAATAAGAAGCCGCTGCGGCCGGGAACGAGGCCGAGGCCGCCACCCTGGCTGCCACCCCCACTCCGACGCCGACGCGGACGCCCCCCCACCCCGCCGACCCCGCCCCCCGCCGGCCCCCCAACGATGCCGACACAGACACGGACCACCACCCCCCAACCCGACCGCCCCGCCCGCCCGCCGACCCCCCCCCCTGCCGCGGCCTTACCTCGGGGGAAAAACGAAGCGGCCGCGGCCGGGAACGAGGCCAAGGCCGCCACCCTGGCTGCCACCCCCACTCCGACGCCGACCCCGCCCCCCGCGGACCCCCCCACCGATGCCGACACCGAACACCACCCCCCCAACCCGACCCCCCCCCCGCCGACCCCCCCGCCCTGCCTTACCTCAGGGGAATAAGGAAGCGGCTGCGGCCGGGATCGAGGCCGAGGCCGCCACCCTGGCTGCCACCCCCACTCGACCGACCCGCCCCCGCGACCCCCCCCGATGCCGACCGACACCGACCACCCCCCCAACCGGCCCCCCGCCGACCCCCCCGCGCTGCCTTACCTCGGGGGAATAAGGAAGCGGCTGCGGCCGGGAACGAGGCCGAGGCCGCCACCCTGGCTGCCACCCCCACTCCGACGCGGACGCCCACCCACCCCGCCGACCCCGCCCCCGCCGACCCCCCCTACCGATGCCGACACCGACCACCACCCCCAACCCGACCCCACCCCGCAGACCCCCCCCCCCCCCCCCCGCCGCTGCCTTACCTCGGGGGAATAAGAAGCGGCTGCGGCCGGGAACGAGGCCCAGGCCGCCACCCTGGCTGCCACCCCCACTCCGACGCCGACGGCAACCCACCCCGCCGACCCAGCCCCCGCCGACCCCCCCTACCGACCCCCCCGCCGACCCACCCCGACCACCACCCCCCAACCCGACCCCCCCTCCCCCGCCCCCCGCCCGACCCCCCCCCCCCCCGCTGCCTTACCTCGGGGGAATAACGAAGCGGCTGCGGCCGGGAACGAGGCCCAGGCCGCCACCCTGGCTGCCACCCCCCCCCACTCCGACGCCGACCCCGCCCCCCGCCGACCCCCCCACCGATGCCGACACCGACACCGAACACCACCCCCCCAACCCGAACCCCCCCCCCGCCGACCCCCCCGCCCTGCCTTACCTCAGGGGAATAAGAAGCGGCTGCGGCCGGGAACGAGGCCGAGGCCGCCACCCTGGCTGCCACCCCCACTCCGACGCCGACGCCCACCCCCCCCGCCGACCCCGCCCCCCGCCGCCCCCCCCCTGCCGCGGCCTTACCTCGGGGGAAAAACGAAGCGGCCGCGGCCGGGAACGAGGCCGAGGCCGCCACCCTGGCTGCCACCCCCACTCCGACGCCGACCCCGCCCCCCACCGACCCCCCCCACCGATGCCGACACCGACACCGACCACCACCCCCCCAACCCGAACCCCCCCCCGCCGACCCCCCCCCCCGCCGCTGCCTTACCTCGGGGGAATAACGAAGCGGACGCGGCCGGGAACGAGGCCGAGGCCGCCACCCTGGCTGCCACCCCCACTCCGACGCCGACGCCCACCCACCCCGCCGACCCGCCCCCGCCGACCCCCCCACCGATGCCGACACCGACCACCACCCCCAAACCCGACCCCCCCCCGCCGACCCCCCCCCCCCCGCCGCTGCCTTACCTCGGGGGAATAAGAAGCCGCTGCGGCCGGGAACGAGGCCGAGGCCGCCACCCTGGCTGCCACCCCCACTCCGACGCCGACGCCCACCCACCCCGCCGACCCCGCCCCCGCCGACCCCCCCACCGATGCCGACACCGACACCACCACCACCCCCAACCCGACCCCCCCCCGCCGACCCCCCCCCCGCCGCTGCCTTACCTCGGGGAATAAGAAGCGCTGCGGCCGGGAACGAGGCCAGGCCGCCACCTGGCTGCCACCCCCACTCCGACGCCGACGCCCCACCCCGCCGACCCGCCCCCGCCGACCCTCCCACCGATGCCGACACCGACACCGACCACCACCCCCCCAACCCGCCCCCCCCCCCGCCGACCCCCCCCCGCCGCTGCCTTACCTCGGGGGAATAACGAAGCGGCCGCGGCCGGGAACGAGGCCGAGGCCGCCACCCTGGCTGCCACCCTGGCTGCCACCCCCACTCCGACGCCGACCCCGCCCCCCGCGGACCCCCCCACCGATGCCGACAACCACACCGACCACCACCCCCCCAACCCGAACCCCCCCCCGCAGACCCCCCCCCACTGCCTTACCTCAGGGGAATAAGGAAGCGGCTGCGACAGGGAACGAGGCCGAGGCCGCAATCCTGGCTGCCACCCCCACTCCGACGTCGACCCCGCCCCACGCGGACCCTCCCACCGATGCCGACAACGACACCGACCACCACCCCCCAAACCCGAAACCCCCCTCGGCCGCCCCCCCCCCCCGCCGCTGCCTTACCTCGGGGGAATAACGCAGGCGGAAGGGAACGAGGCCGAGGCTGCCACCCTGGCTGCCACCCCCACTCCGACGCCGACGCCCACCCACCCCGCCGACCACGCCCCCCGCCGACCCCCCCACCGATGCCGACACCACACCACCCCCCCAACCCGACCCCCCCCGCCGACCCCCCCCCCCCGCCGCTGCCTTACCTCAGGGGAATAAGGAAGCGGCTGCGGCCGGGAACGAGGCCGAGGCCGCCACCCTGGCTGCCACCCCCACTCCGACGCCGACGCGGACGCCCACCCACCCCGCCGACCCCGCCCCCGCCGACCCCCCCACCGATGCCGACACCGACCACCACCCCCCCAACCCGACCCCCCCCCCACCGACCCCCCTCCCGCTGCTGCCTTACCTCGCGGGAACAACGAAGCGCCGCGGCCGGGAACGAGGCCGAGGCCGCCACCCTGGCTGCCACCCTGGCTGCCACCCCACTCCAACGCCGACCCCCCCCCCGCGACCCCCCCACCGATGCCGACACGACACCGACCACCACCCCCCAACCCGACCCCCCCCCGCCGACCCCGCCCCCCTGCCTTACCTCGGGGGAATAAGGAAGCGGCTGAGGCCGGGAACGAGGCCGAGGCCGCCACCCTGGCTGCCACCCCCACTCCGACGCGACGCCACCACCCCGCCGACCCGCCCCGCCGACCCCCCCACCGATGCCGACACCGACCACCACCCCGCAAACCCGACCCCCCAATCCCGCCGACCCCCCCCCCCCCCCCGCCGCTGCCTTACCTCGGGGGAATAAGAAGCGGCTGCGGCCGGGAACGAGGCCGAGGCCGCCACCCTGGCTGCCACCCCCACTCCGACGCCGACGCCAACCCACCCCTCCGACTCCGCCTCCCGCCGACAACCCCCAACGATGCAGACACCGACCACCACCACCCCCAACCCGACCCCCCCCCCCGCCGACCCCCCCCCCCCCCCCGCCGCTGCCTTACCTCGGGGGAATAAGGAAGCGGCTGCGGCCGGGAACGAGGCCCAGGCCGCCACCCTGGCTGCCACCCCCACTCCGACGCCGCCCACCCACCCCGCCGACCCCGCCCCCGCCGACCCCCCCTACCGATGCCGACACCGTCCACCACCCCCCAACCCGACCCCCCCCCGCCGACCCCCCCCCGCCGCTGCCTTACCTCGGGGGAATAACGAAGCGGCCGCGGCCGGGAACGAGGCCGAGGCCGCCACCCTGGCTGCCACCCCCACTCCGACGCCGACCCCGCCACCCCGCCGACCCCCCCACCGATGCCGACACCGACCGACCACCCCCCCCAACCCGACCCCCCCCCGCCGACCCCCCCCCCGCCGCTGCCTTACCTCGGGGGAATAACGAAGCGCGCGGCCGGGAACGAGGCCGAGGCCGCCACCCTGGCTGCCACCCCCACTCCGACGACGCCCACCCACCCGCCGACCCGCCCCCGCCGACCCCCCCACCGATGCCGACACCGACACCCCCCACCCCCCCAACCCGACCCCCCCCGCCGACCCCCCCCGCCGCTGCCTTACCTCAGGGGAATAAGGAAGCGGCTGCGGCCGGGAACGAGGCCGAGGCCGCCACCCTGGCTGCCACCCCCACTCCGACGCCGACGCCCACCCACCCCGCCGACCCCCCCCCGCCGACCCCCCACCGATGCCGACCGACCACCACCCCCAACCCGACCCCCCCCCGCCGACCCCCCCCCCCGCCGCTGCCTTACCTCGGGGGAATAACGAAGCGGCTGCGGCCGGGAACGAGGCCGAGGCCGCCACCCTGGCTGCCACCCCCACTCCGACGCCGACGCCACCCCACCCCGCCGACCCCCCCACCGATGCCGACACCGACACCGACCACCACCCCCCCAACCCGAACCCCCCCCCGCCGACCCCCCCCCCGCCGCTGCCTTACCTCGGGGGAATAACGAAGCGGCCGCGGCCGGGAACGAGGCCAAGGCCGCCACCCTGGCTGCCACCCTGGCTGCCACCCCCACTCCGACGCCGACCCCGCTCCCCGCGGACCCCCCCACCGATGCCGACACCGCACACCCACCCCCCCAACCCGACCCCCCCCCGCCGACCCCCCCCCCCGCCGCTGCCTTACCTCAGGGGAATAAGGAAGCGGCTGCGGCCGGGAACGAGGCCGAGGCCGCCACCCTGGCTGCCACCCCCACTCCGACGCCGACGCCCACCCACCCCGCCGACCCCCCCTACCGATGCCGACACCGACCACCACCCCCCCAACCCGACCCCCCCCCGCCGACCCCCCCCCCCCGCCGCTGCCTTACCTCGGGGGAATAACGAAGCGGCTGCGGCCGGGAACGAGGCCGAGGCCGCCACCCTGGCTGCCACCCCCACTCCGACGCCGACGCGGACGCCCACCCACCCCGCCGACCCCGCCCCCCGCCGACCCCCCAAGGATGCCGACACAGACACGGACCACCACCCCCCAACCCGACCCCCCCCCCGCCGACCCCCCCCCGCCGCGGCCTTACCTCGGGGGAATAACGAAGCGGCCGCGGCCGGGAACGAGGCCAAGGCACCCACCCTGGCTGCCACCCCCACTCCGACGCCAACCCCGCCCCCACCGATGCCGACACGACACCACCCCCCCACCCGACCCCCCCCCGACCCCCCCCCACCGACTGCCGACACCGGAACAGCCACCGCCGCCCACCACCGACGCCGACCCCCACCCGCCGACCCCCCCCCACCCGACCCCCCGACCCCCCCCCTGCCTTACCTCGGGGAATAACGAAGCGGCTGCGGCCGGAACGAGGCCGAGGCCGCCACCCTGGCTGCCACCCCCACTCCGACGCCGACCCCGCCCCCGCGCGACCCCCCCACCGATGCCGACACCGACACCGACCACCACCCCCCAACCCGAACCCCCCCCCCGACCCCCCCCCCCGCCGCTGCCTTACCTCGGGGGAATAAGGAAGCGGCTGCGGCCGGGAACGAGGCCGAGGCCGCCACCCTGGCTGCCACCCCCACTCCGACGCCGACGCCCACCCACCCCGCCGACCCGCCCCCGCCGACCCCCCCACCGATGCCGACACCGACCACCACCCCCAACCCGACCCCCCCCCGCCGACCCCCCCCCCCCGCCGCTGCCTTACCTCGGGGGAATAAGAAGCGGCCGCGGCCGGGAACGAGGCCAAGGCCGCCACCCTGGCTGCCACCCTGGCTGCCACCCCCACTCCGACGCCGACCCCGCCCCCGCGACCCCCCCACCGATGCCGACACCGACACCACCCCCCCAACCCGACCCCCCCCCGCCGACCCCCCCCGCCTGCCTTACCTCGGGGAATAAGAAGCGCTGCGCCGGAACGAGGCCGAGGCCGCCACACTGGCTGCCACCCCCACTCCGACGCCGACGCCCACCCCCCCGCCGACCCCGCCCCCCGCGACCCCCCCCGCCGCGCCTTACCTCGGGGGAAAAACGAAGCGGCCGCGGCCGGGAACGAGGCCAAGGCAGCCACCCTGGCTGCCACCCCCACTCCGACGCCGACCCCGCCCCCCGCCGACCCCCCCACCGATGCCGACACCGACACCGAACACCACGCCCCCAACCCGAACCCCCCCACGCCGACCCCCCCCGACCCCCACAACCGATGCCGACACCTACACGGACCACCCCCCCCCCAAACCGACCCCCCCCCCGCCGACCCCCCCCCCCTGCTTACCTCCGGGGAATAACGAAGCGGACGCGACCGGGAACGAGGCCGAGGCCGCCACCCTGGCTGCCACCCCCACTCCGACGCCGACGCCCACCCACCCCGCCGACCACCCCCACCGATGCCGACACCGACCACCCACCACCCCCCCAACCCGAACCCCAACCCCCGCCGACCCCCCCCACCGCCGCCCGCTGCCTTACCTCGGGGAAATGAAGCGGCCGCGGCCGGGAACGAGGCCGAGGCCGCCACCCTGGCTGCCACCCCCACTCCGACGCCGACGCCCACCCACCCCGCCGACCCCGCCCCCCGCCGACCCCCCCCACCGATGCCGACACCGTACACCACACCCCAACCCGACCCCCCCTCCGCCGAACCCCCCCGCCGACCCCCCCCCCGCCGCTGCCTTACCTCGGGGGAATAAGGAAGCGGCTGCGGCCGGGAACGAGGCCCAGGCTGCCACACTGGCTTCCACCCTGGCTGCCACCCCCACTCCGACGCCGACCCCGCCCCACGCGGACCCCCCCACCGATGCCGACACCGACACCGACCACCCCCCCCAACCCGAACCCCCCCCCGCCGACCCCCCCCCCCTGCCTTACCTCGGGGAATAACGAAGCGGCTGCGGCCGGGAACGAGGCCGAGGCCGCCACCCTGGCTGCCACCTGCGCCACCCCACTCCGACGCCGACCCGCCCCCCGACCCCCCCACCGATGCCGACAACCCCACCGACCACCCCCCCCAACCCGAACCCCCCCCCGCCGACCCCCCCCCGCTGCCTTACCTCAGGGGAATAAGGAAGCGGCTGCGGCCGGGAACGAGGCCGAGGCCGCCACCCTGGCTGCCACCCCCACTCCGACGCCGACCCCGCCCCCCGCGGACCCCCCCACCGATGCCGACACCGACACCGACCACCACCCCCCAAACCCGAACCCCCCCCGCCCCCCCCCCCCCCGCCGCTGCCTTACCTCGGGGGAATAACGCAGGCGGAAGGGAACGAGGCCGAGGCTGCCACCCTGGCTGCCACCCCCACTCCGACGCGGACGCCCACTCACCCCGCCGACCCCGCCCCCCGCCGACCCCCCCACCGATGCCGACACCGACCACCACCCCGCAACCCGACCCCCAACCCCGACCCCCCCACCCGACCCCCCGCCGCTGCCTTACCTCAGGGGAATAAGGAAGCGGCTGCGGCCGGGAACGAGGCCGAGGCCGCCACCCTGGCTGCCACCCCCACTCCGACGCCGACGCCGACGCCCACCCACCCCGCCGACCCCGCCCCCCGCCGACACCCCCCACCGATGCCGACACCGACCACCACCCCCCAAACCCGACCCCCCCCGCCGCCCCCCCCCACCCGCCCCCCCGCCGCTGCCTTACCTCGGGGGAATAAGAAGCCGCTGCGGCCGGGAACGAGGCCCAGGCCGCCACCCTGGCTGCCACCCCCACTCCGACGCCGACGCGGACGCCCACCCACCCCGCCGACCCCGCCCCCCGCCGACCCCCCAAGGATGCCGACACACCGACCACCCCCCCCCCAACCCGACCCCCCCCCCCCCGACCCCCCCCCCCGCCGCCGCCTTACCTCGGGGGAATAACGAAGCGGACGCGGCCGGGAACGAGGCCGAGGCCGCCACCCTGGCTGCCACCCTGGCTGCCACCCCCACTCCGACGCCGACCCCGCCCCCCGCCGACCCCCCCCACCGATGCCGACACCGACACCGAACAACACCCCCCCAACCCGACCCCCCCCTCCGACCCCCGACCCCCCCCCGCACGCCGACCCCCCCCCCCCGCCGCTGCCTTACCTCAGGGGAATAAGGAAGCGGCTGCGGCCGGGAACGAGGCCGAGGCCGCCACCCTGGCTGCCACCCCCACTCCGCCGCCCACCCACCCCGCCGACCCCGCCCCCGCCGACCCCCCCTACCGATGCCGACACCGTACACCACACCCCAACCCGACCCCCCCCCACCGACCCCCCTCCCGCTGCTGCCTTACCTCGGGGGAACAACGAAGCGCCGCGGCCGGGAACGAGGCCAAGGCACCCACCCTGGCTGCCACCCACAGGCCGACCCCGACGCCGACACCGACCAACCCCGCCGACCCCGCCCCCCGCCGACCCCCCACCCCCACCCCCGCCGCTGCCATACCTCGGGGGAATAACGAAGTGGCGAACAAGGCCGTGGCGGCCGGGAACGAGGCCGAGGCGGCCGCAGCCACCCTGGCTGCCATCCCCACGCCGACCCCGACGCCGACCCCGACGCCGACCCGCCCCCCGCCGACCCCGACGCCGACCCCCACCCCAACAAGCCGACCACCCCCCTCCCCCCCCCCCACCCCCCCCCCGCCCCGCGTGGCTTGGTGGATGGAGCCCAGGAATCATGGGCTAGGTGAGCGCTGACCCGCGCCCAGCCCCGCCCAAGTTCACGAGCATCCAGCACCTAGCACTTGCTCCTGACCACACTGCCCAGGGTCCTCGACACAGGAGCTGACCACTGTGTTGCTGTCGCTGTTTTTTTTGCTTTTTCTTGGTCCTGGGATCCAGCCCAGGGCCGCGTGCACTGAGCCACGCCGGTCCCCATGCCCACTCCATCTGCTAGCCAGCCTCCTGCCACAGGAGGGAGACCCAAGTTAACCAGCTGCAAGGACGAAGGCTAATTTGGGCTCACAGGTTCCTGGACTTGGTCCAGGGTCCCCAGGCCTCCTGTTTGAGCCTGCGGGACAGCACCACGGCAGAGCCCCCTTCTGTCACACCTCATGCTCCCGCCAGGGCCACTATGCCCTTTGAAAGCACATCCCCAAGGACAGTCCTCTCACTAGCACCAACTCCCAGTAGTGCCCCAGAACGGCCACCGAGCCCTTAGGACATGGGCCTCTGGGGGCTTCTAAGATCCATGCTGGCTGCCCACAGTGGTATGGCTTGTCATCCCAGCGGCTCTGGAGGCTGAGGCTGGAGGATCGCAAATTGGAGGCCAGCCTCAGCAACATCGAGGCCCTAAGCAACTCAGGGAGACCCTGTCTCTAAATAAAATCAGCAACTAACTCTATATAAAAACATCAAATAGTAGCCTCCATCAGTTTGCTCTGTGGGTGTAATAAGCTCCAGCACAGTCATGAGCAAACATGGTGCTCAATCATTGTCAAATCTTCTACCATCCTTTCCCAGAGGGGTCCAACACAGTCCACAAATCCATATCAATCAGGAGACGGGCATGTCGGCTCATGGCTGTCATCCCAGCAGCTCGGGAGGATGAGACAGGAGGATCAAAAGTTGGAGGCCAGCCTCAGCAACTGATTGAGGCCCTGAGCAACTCAGCGAGACCCTGTCTGTAAATAAAATGCAAAATAGGGCTGGGGACGGGGCTCCGTGGTCGAGTGCCCCTGAGTTCAATCCCTGGTGCCAATATATATATAAATCCATGAACCAGGAAGAGATGCCAACCCACGAGAGCCCTGACCTTGAGTCTTCACCCACCTTCAGCACCATCTACCTGTGACACTATAGCTCCTCACAGGTGGCCTCTGTCCCTCCAACCTTTGGTTCTGGATTCAGACGCATGGCTCCCATTGTCCAGTTGAATGAAGGGCTTCACTGTGAATGAGGACAACATGCCCCTCCCGGCCTCACCCTCCAGAGGTGACCAGTGTTTCCACACAATCTCTGGCACCTTTGTCGTCACCATGGGAGACAGGAGGAGGAGGGACACATGGGCAAGGTGCTCTCAGCTGAAACTCGGCCTGAATGTCAGCTGACACCAGATATTGATTTGGGGGAGACATTTGTTACACGGCGATAGTTAACTGATACATCGAATGCTAAGCCGGGCACGTGAAGCTGTTTTAGATCTCTCTTTGGCTCTGACAAAGAAATAGCTTAAAAAAATAAACATTTGGATGGAGAGCAGATAGCGCTCAGAGGGAAACAGGAATGATCAATAAACAAATAAAAGCTCATCCTTTTTTGTACCATCAAGGAATTTAAATCACTCATAAAATTCTAATTTCCATCTACCAAACCAGTAAAGATAAACACACACATATGGCGATATTGTGTGTTGGCAAGAGTGGTAGAAACAAAATCTCGTCCCCAGCTGGTGGGTGTGCAGACTGATACAATGCTTTGCAAATGTGGTAGCATCTACCAAATTGGTAATGGGCATGTGCCATGACCCAGTAATTCTACTTCTAGAGAAACTCCCGCCTCTGCACCTCTATTAGTCAGCTTTGCATTACTGTAATGGATTACCTGAGAAAATTGAAAAAAGGTTTATTTGGGCCCATGGTTCTGGAGGGCCCAGGCCAAGATGGAATGGCTTCCTGGTTACATCATGAGTTCAAAAGCAAAGAGAGAGGATAGACAGGGTCCCACAGTCCCTTTTTAAAAAATTATTTTCTTTTAATTGTAGTTGGATGCAATACCTTTAATTAATTAATCTATTTTTATGTGGTGCTGAGGATTGAACCCAGGGCCTCACATGGGCTAGGCGAGCACTCTACCACTGAGCCCCAGCCCCAACCCTATAAAATAACTTTATGGGAAAATTCTCTTAGAAATTATTTTCTTGCTGGGCACGGGGGGTGCACACCTGTCACCCCAGCAACTCGGGAGGCTGAGGCAGGAGGATTGAAAGCTCAGCGACTTAGCGAGGCTCTGTCTCAAAATTGAAAAAAATAAATTAAAAGGGGTTGGGGAGGTGGTCGTGACGTGAGAGCATTTTTTCTTAGGAAAATAATTTTTCTTTTTCTTTTATTTCTTGGTACCAGGGATTGAACCCAGGGGTGCTTAAGCACGGAGCCCCATCCCCAGCCCTTTTTAGATTTTATTTAGAGACAGGGTCTCGCTGAGTTGCCTCAGCGCCTCACTAAGTGGCTGAGGCTGGCTTTGAACTTGGGATCCTCCTGCCTCAGCCTCCGGGCCACTGGGATGACAGGTGAGCGTCACCTGATGAAATATTTTTTTCTTATAAAAACTTTGGGGCTGGGGCTGTGACTCAGAGGCAGAGTGCTTGCCTCACAGGTGTGAGGCACTTGGCCTGGCCTCGAGGCTGGGCTGCTGACCAGGCCTCCCTGCCTCCTCAGGCACGAGGCACGTCCTGGGCCGGCCCTGTGCCAGGTCACGGAGGGAACCTCCCGCCTGGAGGGGACGTGGGATGGCGAGTGCAGGCGGGTGGAGGGGCAGCCCTGCTGCCCAGGAGTCTGAGCGGGGCCCCTTCCATGGGAGGCCCCTGTGACCCCAGCAGTTCCGCTCCCCACCCCCATCCGGGAGTGGGCAGGAGGCAGGGCTGGTCCCTCAGACCCTCCAGCCTGGCTGCTTGGCCTGGGCGCTTGCCCACTCTGACCCTCAGTCTTCTCCTCTGTGAAATGGGCCCGGGGAGGCGGTAGGGCAGCACTCAGCCCGGGGACAGACCCAGCCCAGGAGGAGGACGGTGGCACCCCAGCTGCTGTTCTGAAGGAGGCCGTGGGGAAGCCAGAGAGGGCTCCCGGGACTGGCTGCCAGGTGGGCGCCAGGTGAGGACACCGTCTTTCCGCCAGATGTCCATGGTCACTTCTGCTCACCGTGACCACCACGTGGTCACCTGTTGACGTCTAGCGGCAAAGAGGGTGGGGAACCAGGTGTCCTGGGGATCTTGGCTCAGCTCCAAGGCAGGTGGAGCTCAGACCCTTGGGAAGAAATGGGGATGGACCTCAGGGACAGTGGGCAGCAGAGGCCCCTTGGCCAGGCGGGGAGCAGGAGGGCCCAGGAGCTGCCGAGGGTCAGGGGCGAGGAGGGCAGCGTGGCCGGGGATGTCCAGGCCATGGAGATCAGCAGGGGCCAAGCAGGCGGGGGCCATGGCAAGGGGACATGCTCAGTTGACATTGGATGACGTGGTGGCAGAAGGGCAGGCCCGTCCCCCCGCGCAGAGCCGCTGGCTCCTGTCCCCAGCTGGGTTCCCTAAGGAAGGATACCCTGGCCACAGTGGCCTGGGCTCGCCCGGGCTCCGGCGACAGGACGCGGGCAGCCCCGCAGTGACCACAGCCCTCGTGAGAACAACCACAGAACTTTATTGACCACACCAGGAGCCGGGCTCCGCGACATCCAGGTCGTCAGTGTGAGCTCAAGTAACAGGCAAGGCACAAAGGTCTCCGTCCCCAGCTGCAGAGCAGTCAGTGCTGTTCCCAGCCCCATGGTGGGCCTCAGAGGCTGAGCACTCAGCAGACATGTGGCGTGCAGGTGTGGCTGGCTCCAGGCGCACGGTGCACAGCCTGGATCCAGGGCCTGCCCTCCCTGGCCCCAGACCTGGAGCGGGCACTGGGTACAGCAGGGTCTGAGCTGTCCTCTGGTGGAGTCCCCTCCTGGAGGGCAGGTCCTGGGTGGCCGCCCAGCCTCCTCGAGGCCAGGGTGGGCTCGGGGCCTCCAGGAGGCTGCCCGGCGGCAGTGCGGGGCGGGGGAGGGGATCTCAGGCAGGAGGGGACACCATGGCGGGGGGACACTGCAGCTGGGGGACACTGCAGCTGGGGACACCGCAGCTGTGTCTGGCTCGGGTGGGCCGAGGTATTGAGCGTGGCACAGGAGCGGCAGGGACGCTGGGTCTCTGTGCTAAAGGGACAGCAGAAGGCCCCATGGGGGCTCAAGGACACTCCAGGGACGGGCTCAGGCTGTCCTGGGGGGCAGAGGTCACGCGGAACCAGGAGTTTCTACAAAGACGCAGAGCCACTGTCACAGTGGCCCCCGGAGGGGACGGAGCCGCCCCAGGTGCTTGGCTCTGGGCTCAGGCGTCCAACTGGCTCGGCTCCTGGTCGTGGCTGGGGACAGTTCCTGAGGTGGGCGGGGCTGGCCCAGGACACTGCTGTCCCCGGCCTGTCGTAGCAGCAGCCACAGGGAGAGTCTTCACGGGGAGGAGACACACAGGCCAGGCGCCCCACAAGCCCCAGCGTCACCAGAGAGCCCTTCCCTGAGACCACGAGGGTGACACGCGGGTGACTCGCCTTGCCACGGCCCAAGGTTCTGAGGACGCAGCGCTTTTTAGCGGCAAGGAATACAAACACGAGGGTGTACAGGCTCCTGGTGGCTGCACGGAGTGGGCCGCGGGGCTCGAAGGAGGAGGGACACAGCACACTGACCGCGGGCTCCTACCCACGGGGCGCTCAGGAGCTAGTGGGAGGCGTAGGCTGGGCTCCAGAGCCCCGAGCGGGGGCTGCCTCTGCGACCAGGAGGCAGGGCATTGAAGGAGGCCGGAGAGGAGGCCGCTGGATCTAGGGAGGAGGGAGAGAGAGAGTGAGCAAGGGACCCTCTGGGGGAGTAGACATGTCTTCAACCCTCTTAAGCCAAAAGAAGCATTTATGAAGTGCCTGCTGCATGCCTAGGACACTTTCCTGATGAGGCCTGAGGCCTCCAGGAGGCAGCAAAGGGAGATCCTCAGGGGTATGATGTGGAGAGGGCGGTCGTTGAGATTGTGCAGTGCCCAACCTGTGCAGCTGTGCAGGGTGCCCCTGTGTCTCCTGTTCCTACTCAGGGGCTCACCCCCTGTAAAGGGAGCCCCTGGCTTATTTCCCCACTAACCCGCTGGGGTGTGGACAGGCTTCCAGGGGTCCCTGGGTTTTTGGAAGAGGATGTACTTCTGTAGACAGAAGCACTCTTCCAGGTGGGAAGAGGTGAGAGCCTACTGCAGGTATGGCTGTAAGGGAAGTGTGTCATCGAGAGCTCGGTGGCTCTCCTAGGTCCCGCGTCACAGGTGAGAGGCGTGGCAGGGCAGGGGCTGTGATTCCAGGGGCCAGGACATGTGTGGCATCTTACTTCCAAGGAAAATGCTTCTCTCTATGAAACTCTGCCCTCGTTCAAAAAGTCCACTCCCCAGCCTCCACCCGCAGCTGCCCAGGGCCAAGCCTGGACGGGGGCCCCTGGGCGGCGAAGGGGAGCCTGGACCCAGAAAGGGGTGCCGTGAACAGCTGCACAGGATGGGCACTGCAACCCCGTTAGATGATGCTCCCAAAAGGATGTGCCTCTGGAGGCCTGTGGGGTCACCAGGCCTGTAGGGCCACCAGGTCTCAGGTCCCTCGGAGACGGAGGGGTTGTCAAAGGAATAGGCTTTGCCCTTTCTCCCTCTGGGGGACCCCTCAGTACTGCCCGGACCCCCTGCCTGACTTGGGTCCCACGAGGCAGTCCCAGAGTGGACACCTGGGCCAGCATGGGCAGGAGCCCGGGGCTGTCCCCCACACCCCCACAGCCCGGCCCTGGGGCTCAGGGACCCCCCAGTCTGCCCATGGCGGGGACTACTCACAGTGGGGACTGTGCCCAGGGCTGGCTCGGGGCGTGAGGACCACGGGGCCAGTGAGCTCCCGGGGCCCATAGACCGTGTGGTAGGCTGCGAGGGCAGGCGGGTCAGCGTGGTCAGTACGGTCAGCAAGGGTAGGGCAGGCGGCACCCCCGCGACACCCCACGGCACCCCCCGGCTCACCTATGACGGTGACGGCCGTCCCGGCCAGCAGGGTGAAGAGCGAGAAGAACAGGGCCTGGTAGGAGTCCAGGAGGTGATGGAAGAGACCGGCCCCATCTGCGCGGGGACACCGTCAGCAAGGCCAGGCCAGGGCCACCCCAGGCCCCCGCCAGCCCCGCCCATCTGGAGGGTGGCCTGCCAGTGTCTGCCGGCCCCAGGATGTCCAGCAGGGCCACCAGGGCAGGAGACCCGCTCAGAGTCCACCCTGCGTCCCCTCTAGGTGGGAGGTTTCCCGTGGTGACCTGGCCCAGGGCCGGCCCAGGACGCACCTCGTGGCTGAGGAGGCAGGGAGGCAAGGAGGCCAGGAGTCCAGCCTCGAGGCCTGGCCAGCTGGCGAGACCCGTGGGAAGCCGAGCCATCGTCACGCTGCCCATGACAGGCGGCTCTGGCAATGGTGTCCGGGGACAAGAGGGTCGAGGGGTTTGGGAGCCAGAAATGGCTCAGGAGGGCGGGTCCCAGGAGGGGAGGACGCTGGCCAGGGCCCCCCGGGAGGAGGATGCTGTGGCCGGAGTGGGGGCCGTGGGGGGTCACAGGTGGACAAGAAGCCAGGGCCTGTGGGGTCACATGGCCACTGCGGGGACCCAGGCCCACCAAGGGCCTCAGCGGGCCCAGGCACCTAGTGACCCCGACTCTGGATAAAACACTGGGGGGGGGGTCGCAGGGGCCGGAGTTCAGTCCTCGGTACCCTAAAAAGGTGACTGTCACCTCGAGGGACACCCTGCACTTAGGACCCTCCAAGTCTGCATCTGACCACAGGTTTCCACTGACCCCCAAGACCACGCTGGCCGTCCCTGCCCCTGCCCCCCAGGTCCCTCCCGTGACGTCCCGTCCCGACACTCACAAGGACCAGCCCCACAGCGATCCAGCACCAGGGCCACCGTCACCGGGATGGTGAGGGCCTGGTTAGTGGCAGGGCTGGAGAAGGTCAGGGCGGTGGACAGAGGGCCCTGGCTGCCCGCCCTGGGGTCCGAGAAGCCGACCGTGTAGGTGATGAAACTGGGCAGCCCCAGGTTCTTCTCCTTCGCGAAGGCCAACACAGCGGGGGACCCGGACCTGACCTGGGAGAGACGTCAGGCTGCAGGGACGCTCCACAGAGCCACTGGCCGGGGGACCCAGCACATGGACAGACAAACCAACCAACAAACGAGTAATACATAAAATTTTTTAAAAACTCTGCAAAACCAAGCCAGGTGCAGTGGCCCACGCCTGTCCTCCCAGCAGCTCGGGAGGCTGAGGCAGGAGGATCGCAAGGTGGAGGCCAGCCTCAGCAGCTTAGTGAGGCCCTGAGCAACTCAGCGAGACCCTGTCTGTAAATAAAATATAAAAAGGGCTGGGGACGGTCACCACCCGGGTAGTCAACGTGAAGTCCGACTGTGGTCCCTGCGTCCGCCCCGACCCCTCCGCTCACCTCCAAGCTGTCCAGGATCTCCGCGGCCCCAAAGACCTTGACCTCGCGGCTGGACAGGTGGTTGCTCAGGAGGATCTCAGTCTGGTCAGCGTAGAGCCCAGGGCTGAAGGGCACCTCGGCCCCCACCTGCTCCACAGACGTCTGGCCCCCGGCCACCGAGGCTGTGACCACCAGGGGTGTCCTCCTCGAGCTCAAGTGCCTCAGCTGCCCGTCGGTCAGCCTGTGCATGGTGACCGAGCAGAGGTACTGGCCTGCGGAGACAGGGGTGTCCTGCTTGTCCCTGTCCCCTACCTGCGCTGACACCCCACCCTGTCCCTGACTCTCCTGACCCTGCACCGTCCTGCGGGTGCGGCGGTGGCTGAAGGCCAGCCTCCTGTGGGCCCAGAAGCGACAGAGGCCTGGCCCTGGTGGCACCACACAGGACGGACTCCCAGGAGGGCCCTGGGCCAGGCTGGACAGTGGTGAGCCAGGCCATGACCACTGGGCAGCCCAAGGCGGTGGGCAGAGCCCCTCAGCCCTGGCTCACCCAGTGTGACGTCGAAGTCCGGCTCGGCCGAGAACACGTCTGTCACTGGGAGGTCGAAGACGTCTTGCTGGAACCGAAGATGGCAGCTGAGGAGGGCCTCGGGCCCCAGAGCCGGGATGGCCGCCCCCTGGGCAGCGGAGCACTCGCCTGCAGACGGGCGGAGTCAGGAGGCCTGGCCAGCGGCCACCACACCCGGCCACCCAAGGCAAGGGACAGGTGGGCCCCAGGGAGGCGAAGGTGTCGGCCAGGAGCAGAGTGTCCCCTGGGTGGGAACAGCTGGCCAGGCGCAGCTTGGAGGCAGAGCACCTGCCCAGCCGTGGGGTCCTAGGCTCTGGGTGGCCTCTGGGTTCAGGGACACTGGGATCCACCTCCCCACGGCATGGACCTCTCAGGTTAGAGCTTCTGTCTCCCACGGTGATGGTCACTCTGGAGGCTGTGGCCTCCTGGAAGCTGGCCTGGGCTGTGTGGACACGCCGGGCCACGATCCTCTGGGGGACACTGACCACGATCTGTGGAGGGCGAGGCAGCTGGTGAAGAGCCGCCCGCTGGCCATCCATGCTGGGCCCCCCGTGACCCCTCCTGAGCCTGCGGCCTGAGGACACCTGGCCCCAGGTGACAACAGGACCAAGGCCTGTCCACCCGGCCAGCACAGCGTACACTCAGTCCGCTGGACCTCATGACCCGGCCTGCGCCCCTCTCGACCTCATGGCACCTGTGACACCCAGATGACACACCAGTCAGGAGCTCCTGACCTGACCTCGCAGCAAAGAGGACCCACTTTAGTCTCCTGTCCTTTACTCGGAGTCATCAACCCCCACTGAAGGCCACAGGCAGAGGCCACACTGACCCCAGAGCCCAGGCACTGCCTCCTTCCAGGTCCCCAGGGGCCAGCTGGACAGGGCTGACCACCACAGCCCCGGACAGCACTCCTGGCCCTGGCTCCGCCCCAGTCCGTGTCCCACTTGATGCCTGTGGCTGGGCCTCGTCCCCAGCCCTGCGCCCAGCCCGTGTCCCGCCCACCCTCGGGGACACAGGAGGCCCCAGGTTTCCTGGCAGCCCCACGTGGAGGTGCGACCCCACCTGGACCCCCTGTGACCCCCACTGTGGTGCCCACCCCCTGCCCCGGCTCCCCTCAGGAAGGGCCGTGGGCGCCTGGTCAGCCACGTGGACAGGGTCACCCCAGCCCTGCTCCCTGAGGCCACCTGCGCTCAGCCGCGGGACCAGCTGCCCAGACCTCACGCCTCCAGGATCTGACCAGAGACCGGCCAGGCCCAGGACGTGCAGCCCTCCTTCCAGCAGCCACCCAGGGCCCTGCGCCCCGGGACCTGCCTGCTGGGCCCTTCCAGGAGGCAGGACACGCCCAGTCCTTGGCCACCCAGGCATGGCACTAATGTGCCACCGGGGTCCACGCTGACCTGTCCTCAGCCGGACAGAAACACGGAGCCAAAGGGTTGCTGCCTCTAGAAGGCTCTGAAGGTGACCTTGTGGCTTCACTCTGTTGGTGACGTCACATCATTGAGCTTCCCTTGGTGGCCTCAGGTGGCCTCAGTGGCCTCAGGCAGCTCAGGTGGCCTCGGTGACTCAGGCGGCCTCGGTGGCCTGCGTGTCTTTCTAAGATTCCCCTGAGAGGAGCGGCCTCTGGGGAGGAGGCCCGGGGGTCTTGTCCCCCCTGAACAGCACAGCATGGTCACAGGGCACACAGTGCTTCCCTGCTGTCACCAGCCACCCGGGGACGACTCAGAGTGGACGCAGGGCTGCACAGGCCACAGGTCACACTGTGCCGTAGCACGTGAGGGACCTGACTGAGCACCTGCAGGTTTGGGGACCCAGGTCCTGGCCGACCCCTGGACACACGGTACTGGTTTAAAGGACAGGCGTTCCCAGCCATAGGCCAGGGCGCCGCTGCCCGCGGAGGGTGGGCCAGGCCCGGCGCCCACTGCCCTACCTCCTTTTAGGTCCTCAGGTGCCCGGGGACCTCGTAGTGCACCGTCACGGACCCCGCGTCCCGGGCCACGGCCATCACCGTCTTGGGGTCGACCTGGAGGATGCTGTCGGCTGAAGAGCTCCAGGTTCCTGGGGCACCTGGGAGGAGAGGCCCCATGTCACCCGTCCCCCCCCCCACAGAGGACCGGCCGCCCATGACCTCTTCCTGACCCCTGCCCACGAGGGGCCTTGTGGTTCAGCCTCCCTGCCCGCCTCCGTGGCCACGTCCTGGTGGCCCCTTCTGGCACACCTGCTCTATGGACTGTGGCTGCCCAGCAGACCGTCCCCAGGGGTGCCGTCACCAGGGGAACTGTCCCCAGGGCCACCCTCCCCAGGCGCCCACTAGGGAGTGGCCCTGCTACCAGGCAGGTACATCTCCAAAGCCAACATGGCCTATGTGGCCCTCTGGTGGCCTTCCTGACCCCTTCAGGGCACCCCAGGGTCCCCCTCCCACCCTGGCAGGCGCGGTGACCCCGAGACCGCCCTGGTTGGAACTCTCACCCTTGGGGCCCATGAGCGCAGTGGCCAGGCAGAGGACATCCCCGACCACCACGGTGCCGGGCAGCTCTGGAGCGATGGCCGGCAGGACGGGCAGCGGCACGTAGTCGGAGAGGCCGGGGTGCTCGGGGTCCCACACGCGCAGCAGCGTCAGGCCCACGCTGACCGTGCGCAGTACGCAGATGTTGTTGGTGGTGCCCTTGGTGACCTGCACGAAGTCCTCTCTGGGGACAGGGAGGCGCTCAGCTGGAGGGAGTCCCAGGGCTTCGCAGGCCTCCTCGCGCCTTGCAGGACATAGGCCACAGCCCCTGGCCACCCAGGGCCAGCACCGCCACCCCACACCCAGAAGGGAAGCCGCGGCCAGGAGGAGAGTGACCCCCAGAGAAGGCCTCTGCTGTGGGACAGCCTCGCCACGTCCCCTCTGTGCACCGGTGACACTGTGCCTGCCACGTGGCGTGACGGGCGCGCTAAACGGCTGGCGCTTAGAGGGCAGCTGGTGCCCGTGTCTCCTAAGGCCCCACTCTGCCAGCTCGGCCACCGGCCGTGGGAAGCCCAGGCTGCAGTGGTCACCACCGGCAGGATGCTCCCTCTGCTCCCCCAGACCCTGGAGACGGTCTGCTCCCTCCGCCAGGCAAGGTGGCCCCTCCCTGGGAAACCACGAGTGACCCCAAAATAAAAACAGATTTGAATTGGACAGCACTGGGTCCTGTTGGTGGCTGAGCCCAAGTCCCCACCTGTCGCCACACCGGGTGGAACCAGGGGCACCCCGGGTGGGGCTGTGACAACAGTGTCACCCACACCCTACCTGTTGGTGGCAAAGCTGAGGACCGAACTGTGCGCGTGGAAGACATCTCCAAAGTGGTCATGGAAGTGGACGGTGAAGGTCACGGTCATCCCCAGAGGCAGGGCCACCAGGGCCTCCTTGTCCTGGGTGTGCAGGACCAGGCTCATGGACATCCTCAGGTAGGAGATGGGGGACACCTGGAGGACAGGTGCAATATGATGACACCCTTGAGCCGGGGACGGGCCTCCAGAGCGCCAGGCCTATGACCCAGTTCCCGCCACCAACCGTGCAGGCCAAGTCCCCCGGGTGCCACCCAGGACACCCACATCAGGACCTGGAGAGACCAGAGTGCTGTGCTCGTTGCTTAAGCACCACCGGCTGTCACCTGGCTCTTGGGGCACGTGAGGCAGGAACAATGCCCCTTGGGTCAGAGAGGAGCCCCAGGTGACGGAGGAACCCGAGTCCCATAAATCGCAACTCAACAAATCTCTCTGGATCCCAGGCAGAAACCTCCTGGTCACAAAGCCACCCCTCCCCAGTCCAAAGTCACCGCAAAGTCCCGGGAGGCAGTGGCTGGTATAGTTAGCGCTCAGCACGTGCGTGCTGAAACAGGATGAGCACTTAACCACTTTCATGAGCTTGAAAGTATCGTGGGGGGTCCCCGGCAAGTGCACAGTGTTTGGTCCAGGATCGACCTCGCTCTTCCCTGGGTGGCCCCCGCAGGGGCTCCACTCCCAGGGGTGGCCACGTTAGGGATCAGGCACGTCAGGCAGTGTACCCTTGGGCCGGGGGGACGGGGCACCAGCCCTGGGCCCCCGGGCTGATCCAGGCCCTCATTGGACTTGTTTCCCATCTATGAAACAAGGTGGGTAGAATCGGTGACCTCTTGGGGTCTTTGGCTCCAACAGCCACACACCTGCCCAGGATTTGTCCCTGGGTGACTCTTACGTAAATCCCTACCCACGGTTTACAGCTGGAGAGTGAACACATTTTCTTTTTTTTTGGTACTGGGAAACTGAACCCAGAGGTGCTTAACCCCTGAGCCCCATCCCCAGCCCTTTTTGTATTTTATTTAGAGATAGGGTCTCCCTGAGTCGCTCAGGGCCTTGCTAAGTTGCTGAGGCTGGCCTCCAACTGGCGATCCTCCTGCCTCAGCCTCCTGAGCTCCCGGGATCACAGATGTGCACCGCAGGCCCCCGGCTGGGTGAACCAGTTTTACACCAGAAAGAGGAAAAACGTGCCTCTGAGCTTTAGATTTTGTTATCCAAAACAGGGCCAAGTGCCACCCACCTTCACGGCAATGATGATGGTCTGGTTGGCCCCGAAAGGCTCCTGAGCGGTCACTTTGACAGTGGACGTCCCGATCACAGAGCCGGACACCAGGAAGCCCCTCTCATCGGCATGCACGACGGGAACCTTCTCAGGCCCCTCCAGGACACGGTAGCAAAGAGCCGCGGCACCGTCCCTTGGGGAAGAAGACATCTGTTTCTGCAGATGGCTGCGGGGGTGGGGGACGGCCCTGGTCGATGCCTCGAGATCGACCATCTGCCTGCAGTGCAGCGTGTGCTGTCGCCGTCGGCAGCCTCGTCAGCCACCCCCAGGAGACCTAAGCCAGAAAGCCTGTGGCTCTGAAGACAACATGGCCACGCACTCCTCAGAGTGGCCGTGGGGTCAGCGGGCAGCGGGCGACAGACCCTGAGGACGGTTGCATCAGCGACACGGTCATTTATGGGTAAAGATGGCTTCTGCAGCTAACGGTCACTGAGGTCAGGCCGCCTGGTGCGGTGGAGAGTGCGGGGCGGGGGCAGGACTGGGGCGGGGACAGGACCCTGGTGGGGACAGGATCCAGGTGGGGACAGGTCCGAGGTGGTCTAGAGCTTCCTCCGCCTTCTCTCTGGCCTCGGTTTCGTCAGCTCTGAAAGGGGAGGCCGAGTGCCCCGTCCTATTTCTGGGGCTGCTCACTGGACCCTGAGAGGGGTCACGGACAGCGTCAGCAGGCACTGAGCCAGGGGACGTCCTGTGGTGTCCTGTGCCCTCTCCTCTGCGGCCAGCCCTCCAGGTGATCTGGGCCGCGGCTCCCCTAAATCTGGGGGCCAGCAGCTCTTACTTGAGCCCTGGCTTGGCCGTGTGGCCCCTTTCTTGGTGGGCTCCTGCAGGACGCCTGCTGTCACCTGATGTCACCTCGTGCCATCCACCTCTGCCTGCATTCCTGGGGCCTAGCACAGTGCTGGGCACTGAGTTACTTCCGGCTGAACACTCCCTGGGTGTGCGTTCATAAAACATGGAACTCGGCCCCCGGGCCCTTAGCAACTGCCACTTAAGCGCAAATGCTCCTTAGGAAAAGTGTCCCTGTCCCTGTGAGGGTCAGGTGGGAATCACGCCTGCTCAGAACCTTTAAAGGTGCACTTTTCAGACGTTAATGTGCATGGCCACTGCCCAGGGACCTCATTACAGGGCAGCTTTGTCCTTGCGGGTCTGGGCAAGGCTGCGAGGCGCACTTGACCTGGTCCCAGGTGAGGCCACTCTGGTTAATTCATGGGCTCCGCTTCTGAGTCATTTGAAATATTTAACAGTCCAAGTTGGAACTTGTTCCCCTTTTCAACCCCGAGCTTCCCCCGTGAGTGGGAGATGTTTCTAGACTGCGGTAGGCGGGCGGCCCCGGAGGAGGCCAGAGATGGGCAGTGGCCGCCCAGGTCCAGCCCAGTGCCCAGAAGGCCCCGTGGTGTCCAGATGGGCATGGGGGGGCAGCTCCCAGCCCTGCTGTGAACAGGAGCCGGGACACGTACCTGTTTGTCTGGAGCTTGATAAACGAGTTGGGGGACATTAATATTTGTTCTGCTTCTATCTCGGGGTTCAGCAGCCACAGCTTCTCGAAAACCTGGGAAAGAGGGTGAGCTGGGTCTCCCACGGCACGCCTGAGTCCCCTTATCCACAAGTGGGGGCTGGGGGCCAGGACGAGACCAACTGCAGACTATCTGCCCCATGGCTGGGGACACGATGGGGCTGGTGGCCCAGCCCAGGAGCAGCAGCTGTCTGCACCCCGTGGGAGCTGGGCCACCCGGCTTCACCCTCGGCCTCGGCCTCGGCCCCCGTCACAGGAGACTCCACAGCAGGGAGATCAGGCCCGGCGTCCTGCTCAGGGGACCCCCGCCACTGAGACATCCTGTCCCTGTCACCATCTCAGAACAAGCCTCTCTCTCTGCTGTGGCCCATCCAGCTCCCTCCCCTCTGCCATGCTCGAGGGCTCCTGGAGGACACAGGGGCAGCAGGACTCCTAGGGAGCCCACCACCTACATTCCCTCTCCAGACCACATAGGGCAGCTGGCTCCCTGCCCTCCAGGCAGCTGGTCCTGTGTCATGAGGCCCCACCCAAGGCCTGACCCCTGACCACAAGCAGGGCCCCTGACCACCTAAGCAGGCTCCGCCCTCCCCTGAGTAGGCTCCACCCTCCCCTGAGCAGGCTCCACCCTCCCCTGAACCAGGCCCCACCCTCCCCTGAGCAGACTCCACCCTCCCCTGAGCCAGGCTCCACCCTCCCCCTGAGCAGGCCCTGCCCTCCCCTGAGCAGGCCTCACCTTCCCATGGGCAGGCTCCACCCTCCCCTGAGCAGGCTCCGCCCTCCCCTGAGCAGACTCCACCCTCCCCTGAGCAGGCTCCGCCCTCCCCTGAGCAGACTCCACCCTCCCCTGAGCAGGCTCCACCCTCCCCTGAGCAGGCCCCGCCCTCTCCTGAACTAGGCCCAGCTGCTGTTCCTGGAACCCACAGGCTGTTCCCGGTCACCAGGCCTTTGCTGCTCAGATCTGCAGCCAACCCTGCCACCGGCAGAGTCCCTCCATGCAGTCTGGCGACACCACCCTTGGGCTCCCCCCAGGGTGACACCACCCCCTCTGCCCGTCCTCCCCAGGCAGGCGCAGCCCCTCAGTGCAGCGAGGGTCCCCCACACCAGGGGCCCAGGAGCTCTGGGCCAGGCCCCTGCGCTGTCTGCTGCCCTCACGGCTGTGTCCCGTCAGTACCTGGACCTGGATCTCGTCCGAGAGCTCCTTGGCAAGGCCGTGCAGCTGTCCCGCTGAGGGGTCCAGGGCCTTGACCACCACCCTCAGCCCCGTGCGGCCCTTCGCCCGGCCGAGCAGGCTCATGGCGAAGTTGTACTGCGAGGGCAGCTGGACGGACGCCTGGAAGGCAGAGAGCGGGCTCAGGGACAGGCCTGGGGGCACCCTCTTCCCCAAGGCCACTGCCCTCGGCCGGGGTCAGATCTGCTGACCCAGGGCCACACAGACGGCAGTCACCCACACAAGGCCACCGGCCACTCTGCATGGTGCCTGGGACGCGGGGTCACTGAGCGGGGCCTGGAGCCCTGTGTGTGCGTGGGAGTGTTATGTGGGGGCTGCTGGGTTTTGTGGGGTCCCCCACAGGGCCCACTGCAGGACGTCTGTGATAAGCCACAGTGTGTCCTGCAGCGGGCCCTGTGTCCCCTGCCCTGGGACAGGCCCCCGGGGCGATGAGGCCGCCCGCCCTCCGGGAGGCACACTGGGCCCTACCTAGTGGTGCTGTCCGCGGAGCTCCAAGATGTCGCGCTTGGTGACCGACCAGTGGAAGGTCAGGCCTGGCACGGCGTTTGCAAAGGAGAAAGGGCTCTGGTTGTTGGTGATCCCAGTGACATAGACGGCCATCTGGCGGTGAGAGAGCCGGGCCTGTGAGCACCCACGCACCCAGGCTGGGGACCCTCCTCCTGGAGCTCTGCCTATCTGCCCATGTCCACCCCAGGCCGGACATAGGTTCTGGGAGCCATGACCAAACACCAGATAGTCCAACCACCGGGGACCGGCCTGTCCCTCCCTGCCAGGGGCTGTGCATGGCCAGGTCCATTTCTGGAAAGACCCCTGGGGCTGCAGGAGGCCTGCGGACACCCCTGGCCACTCAGCCCATGCTGCCGAGGTCCGCACCCTCCTGCTGACCCTCCCAGGCCTTGTGGGGCGTGGACACTGGCAGCCCGGCTCCTTCAGCCTGTGGGCAGGCGTAGGTGAGCCGGCCACCAGCTGGCCCCCAGCCCGACTCCAGGTGGCAGACTGGGGACACGCAGTGCTAGCCACACCCACAACCAGCTGCACAGGCCTGAGAACTGTCTGACTCGCCCTGGGGATGCTGGGGACATTGGGGACAACCCCAGGTGCATGGGAGGACACACAGGCCCCTGCACCCACGGGGCGCTTCACATGAAGGACGAGGGCACTCTTAGGTCTTGGTATTGGCAGGGGCTCTGGGAAGCAGGCCTCCTGGGTGCCAAGGACAGCAGCCCTGGCTGTGCACAGGACTTGGGGTATCCACGTCCATCGCTCACCGGCCAACCTCACAGGTGCACGGGGTAGGGGCTCCTGCTATCCAGGTGCTACCCAAGGTGGGGGATGGGCAGCCTCGCCCTCAGGGAGGAGGCCAGGTGGACCCCAAGGGGAGACGCTATGCTTGTGTTGCATGCCCACCCCACTCCAGGCCCAGAACCGAGCCTAAGCTGGGCACCATGGACACGTGGCTCTGGCCCAGGGAAGTGCCCTCACAATGGCTTCGTCAGAACCAGAACACGGAGCCCCATCCCGACTGGTCCTCACCTGGGTGCCCGTCCTCATGCGCGTGATGGGTGCGCGGATCCTCACCGCCCGCAGCTGCACCACCTCTAGCTCCACCAGGTCCTGGGAAGAGACTGGGCTCAGGCTGCGGGCCCTTCAAAGTCCCCATCTGGCCCCTGAGCCTCGAGGCCTAGCGGCACAGCTGACCCATGTTAGCATGGCAGGCTTGCTGGGGCCTGTTCTCTCAGCGGGTGGCCCTCGCAGGACAGGTCTCTAGGTCCACTCAACCCCAAATCCAGCTCGTCCTTCTCCCTGACTCAGGACACAGGCAGGCACACAGGAGCCACAGGGTGCGGTGAGAACAGACTGCATATACTCCCACATTCTCATCTCCATGCTTCTGTTGATCTGACCAAATGCCCACTTCAGTGGCCTGCTGACCTGCGCAGCTGACCTGGGCTGTGCTCAGGCTACTAACCCCTCCAGGCCTGCTGACAGGCTCAAGGGGACCCTGTGCCTCCTGACTGCTGTCAATCCTTGGCACTCAGCTGGTCCTGAAAAGCACTCACTCTCCCACCTGCCCCGGGTCCTCCTTCTCTGGTCCATTTCCACTAAGAGGCCTGGGCCACCCAGCAGGACCACCCAGCAGGTTGGGGTGCTGATTCTGAGCTGGGGTTGGACAGCTGGTCCTGGACGCTTTGACCAGACACAGCTCGACATGGATGTGGGTCCAGGGAGCAAGGGGGCCAGCAAGGCCAGGCCACAGGGAAGAAGGGCAGAGGGGAGGGGACAGGGCTGTCGTCCTCTGCCTGGCCCCAGAGAGGAGGAGCCGGGTCCCCCCCAGAGAGAGAAGCCAGCAAGGCACCCGGGGCCTCTGGACCCCGTGGAAGTTTCCAGGCGCTCAGGGCTGCCCTGCGTCTGCTGGCACGGAAGAGGGTGAGGGCGTCCCCTGGTGCTCACAAAGCCTCTGTGGTCACCCGGATGCTTGGAAGCCCGCACTGAAGCTGCGGGCAGAGGAGTCCATCAGTGGACTCATGGTTGGATCAAAGTCCGCCTGGGAAGCAGGATCACACGCCCTGAGCTCAGAGGGCTCGGGCTGCTCGGAGGGGACCCGCTTCTGGGCGAGGGACGCCGGCTGAGATCTGAAGAGGCCCTCCTCCCTGGTGGCCCTGCGTGCCCACGGGGCTGTCCTCAGCCCCCAGCGCTCAGTGTGGCCGGCAGCGGGACCCCAACCTGCACCTGAGGGCCTGGGTCACCACGGCCGAAGGATGCCAGGGGCACCAGGGCCTCTGGGGTACCCCTGAGCCTCTCACAGCCGTGGAGATGACCCGGCCTCCACTCCAGGAGATGGAGGTGCCCGACCCCCGGGAAAGGCAGCGGACCTCGGATGCTGACCCCCGGCCTGGAGCCCCCCATGCAGGCGGGGCAGGAGGCCCGCCCAGCAGGGACAGCTGTCTGGTGACCAGGAGGAGCAATCAGGCCTGTCCCCCCAGCAGAGGCTTGGGGACACCTGACTGTGGCAGGTGGCTCACGGTCCCTCCTGGAGGTGCCACCCGTGACTGATTCTCAATCTGCCACACTTGGGGCACGACCCTGAGCGCACGCACACTGTCACCCACACAGTGTCCCCTCCTCTGTCCCTGGCACATAATCAAACCCCACTGGGAACGAGCCAGCAAGACCAAGAGCCTGGCCACATCCCAGACCTGCCATACGAGGACAGGGCCACTGGCTGGTCACTCCAGGGGCTCTATGCAAATGGGAGCCAGAGGCACAGAGCTGAGGACCGAGGAGAGGACCGCACAGTGTCCACCCACTGGGGGCACGGGGTGGGGTGGTGGCCTGGCCCGCCACAGGAGACCTGGGAGCCTCGGCCTGCAGGAGGCACCCGGGGACGGGGCCCACATGGGCAGTTTGTCCCAGGAGGGGACACATAAGGACAGTAGGTTCAGGGGCAGGTCCCCAGGAGTGCCTGGCACCGCTGGCCACACGGGGCTGCCTGGACCCAGGGCACCAACCCGCAGGGCTCCCCACCCCAGGCGTGGCTGGTGCCGGCCACCACGGGCTCAGGGATACCTGGGAGCCCACGATGACCTTGCCAGTGTCCGCGTCCGCCGCTTGCACGACGCCCGACATGGTGCTGCTGCCCACGGCCAGGCCACGGACCAGCCCTGTGCTGCCCACGGTGGCCACGCTGGCATTGCTGATGGAGAAGAGGATGTGGGACTGCAGCTGGGGACCGCCCTCAGAGGTGACCTGCGGGGCAGACGCGTGGCTTCGTGGGCACCTGCACACGCGTCAGGAACGTCCACCCTCGGGCCAGCAGAGGCCACAGGCGGGCTTGTCCTGAGGCGGGGCGGTGGCCTCCTCGCTGGGACCCGCTGGGGACATGAGTGGGAGGGACAGGCCTCGGCTCCTACCTGCATCGTGGCCCCGATGATCAGCGTCACCCTCCTGGGAATCAGCCTGAATGGGGGGAAGACTTGAGGGCACCGGAGAGGACGGGTGAGCCTCGGTCACGTGGGTCACATGGGGCACAGCGCCCACGCCTCAGGAGCTGGTGGGCAGAGGTCGGGCGGCGATGATGGACAGTGGACCGGTAGCCATGGGTGACCGTGGGGGCCTTGGTAGGGCACGCGTCCTCTGGCCCAGGACAGACCTACAGAGCCCAAGGCGGGTCCTGTGATGGGGACACAGCCCTTGGGGGCTCACACACGTCACCGTCTGCCACCTCTGGCTCCCAAGGTCCCTCCAGATCCCTGAGGACGTGAGGAGCCCAGAGGCCATCTACTCCAGCATCCTCGAGATTTCTGAGGCTCAAAGAGGGGCCGAGGGGCAGGCAGAAGGGACACAGCGCACCCCCCCACACGGCAGGTCCCCACCCCCTGGGCAGCCCCACAAGTCCCCGCGGCCATGGGAGCTGCCAGGATGCTGCCCATGGTAGGAGGGTCAGCCTCCCAGGGCTGTGCCAGGGGGAGGAAGGTGACCGTGCCCTGGAGGCCAGCACCATCCCCTGGAAGCCTACTCTGTCCCCTGGAGTTCTGCACTGTCCCCTGGAGGCAGGCATGGCCCCTGCCAGCTTTGGACGCAGGTCAACAAAGCCCACTGGCCCCTGCGGGGCCAAATCCCTTGGAGGGTCCAAACAACAGGGTGCCCTGGCCCCGGTGGCCTTGGCAGTAAGACTCTAAGGACCCGACAGAGCCCAGCGTCACACGGAGACAGGGGCTTCAGGGCTGCCTTCCCCAGAGCGGCCGGCCCTGGGTGGCTCCGGGTGGCTCAGTGACCCCTCTGCCCGCACAGCCCCATGGCAGGAGCTCAGCCCCCAGGCGCCTGGGCGGAGGCTCAGGTCAGGTCTACACAGTGCATCTGCCACTTCCCTACGGGCCACTCTCTGGGAACAGCTCTTGCTCGTCCCCTTGCCATGTGACTAGGCATGCCTCTCCTTAGGGCCACACAGACCCCCTGTGTCACAGAGGGAGATTAGAAACACTCAGGCTGGGCTCAGGGGCCCACGCCTGTCATCCCAGCGGTTTGGGAGGCTGAGGCAGGAGGATCGCCAGTTGGAGGCCAGCCTCAGCAAAAGTGAGGCCCTGAGCAACTCAGTGAGACCCTGTCTCTAAATAAAATGCAAAACAGGGCTGGGGACAGGACTCAGTGGTCGAGGGCCCCTGGGTTTAAGCCCTGGTACCAAAAAGCAAAACCCCCAGCCACCTCTCTCCAGCACTGAGACCTGCCTCCCGGCCCCGGGGCCGGGTGGAGACCCTCTCCTCAGAAGCCAGGACGGGCACACATTTTAACAGGGCCTCTCCGTGGTGACTTCCTGGGCTGTTGCTGGACCGTCCAGCCTGTCACCAAGAAGACACCCTCCCCCAGCAGGGGCAGACCCCAGAGGGCGTGAGAAGGGCCGGTTTACTTCAATCTGCTGCGGGGTCGAGCTGATCCTCTGTCCGGCGGTATCGGTCACGCTTGCGGTCAGGCTGGTCTGGCCGATGGCCATGCCATGGACCAGGAACGCAGCCGTGCAGCTGTCCAGGGCTTCGTCCAGGGCCCTGAAACAGACGGGGCGCTGGGTTCCACCTCCGGGTCAGACCTGCCAAGGAGGGCGCAGTCGGTCCAGCACTGTCCCTGAGAAGCCCGCCTGACCCCCGGGAGGACTCACACCAGGGTGATGATCTGGGAGGCCGCCCGCAGCTTGAGGTCCATGAAGGCAAAGTACTTGGCCAGGAAAGACTTCTTGTAAAAGTCCAGCACTCGGACGTGGGCCTTGACCATCTTTCCAATCTCCACCTGTGTCGGGGGGACAGAGGCTTGAAGGACCAGTTCCCTCAGGTGGGGACAGTGACCTCAAAACCAATGCCCTAGGAGCTGGCGATGAGTCGCCCAGGATGACCTCTCTCTGGACTAGGTCAATCAACAAACGAACACCAATTAAGTACTTATTGTATACAACAGGGCTTGGGGACACTAAGAGACAAAAATTCCACTCCCTACTCTTAATGGATGAACCACAGAACCCCGAAAATAAGGTATAGCTTAGTCCAGGCGAGGTGGCCCACGCCTGTCATCCCAGCAGCTCGGAAGGCTGAGGCAGGAGGATCGTGAGTTCAAAGCCAGCCTCAGCAACAGTGAGGCCCTAAGCAAATCAGTGAGGCCCTGTCTCTAAATAAAATGCAAAATAGGGCTGGGGATGCGGCTAAGGGGCTGAGTTTCCCTGAGTCCAATCCCTGGTACGCTCATTCAAAAAAAAGAAAGAAAGAAAAAAATATATATAGCTTATAACTCCATCATGCATTCAACAGGAGCTCAATAAGTGCTCACCAACTGAACAGTTCACATCTGGCAGTGCATAATAGCAAGTGGGGGCTGGAAATGCTTAGCAAAAAAAAAGGAATCTAGTAAGGAAATGAGCAGAGAAATCACATTATGGGAGGAATATTTAAGACCCGGTCGGGAATGTTAGCACTTTAGCTAATGATACTTTGTAGGTAAGTAGCCTAAGCTGCCTGAATATTTGCCTTTTAATTACCAACCGTTACACCCACTGGGTCAAACAAGAGGCTGACAGCACCCCCTGGAAGCCTGGCATGGGTTACCTCTGATATTGGGAGTCATAAAAATTTCCTGATGAGCTGGGTGCCTGTAATCCCAGTGGCACGGGAGGCTGAGGCAGGAGGATCGTGAGCCTCAGCAACAGTGAGGCCCTAAGCAACTCAGTGAGGCCCTGTCTCTCAATAAAATACCAAAAGGGCTGGGGACGGGGCTCAGGGGTCGAGTGCCCCTGGGATCAGTCCTGGTACCAAAAAAATATAATAATAATAATAAAAAGAAAAAGTTTCCTGATGAGGCCAAAGAAAACCCAGATCTATTATTTACCATTTTGCAAGAGCAATTGGAGGCCCTGAGCTCTCCCCAGGGTGGTGAAATTCCAGAGGAGCACAGCTGCACCCGGGATGGGGGGCCCGGCTGCTGTGTGACCTGCGGGTGCTGGAGGACACGGGTCCCAGGCCAGGCTGGCTTAGCTGACCTCGCCAGGGTCTATGGCTGAGCCCCGCGGATGTCGGCTGGATGAGGAAACCGGACAGCAGTGGAGATGCTGCCCCTCCCCACCCAGCCAGGGAGCTCAGAGCAGCCCAAGGGCAGTGGGAAGGCCAGCTTTGAGGGGACATGTCCACTGACCTTGTCAACCACGCGGACATACAGCTCGTGGATGTCTGAGATGTAGACGGTGGCCTCGGCTGGGGCCAGGAAGGGCAGGCACAGGTCATGGATCAGGACGGTGGCCGAGCCTGGCAGTAAAGGGTGCACCTGCAAGATGTGGTGTGGGTGGAGTCAGGCCCCCATCTCTGGGGTGCCGCTGCCTGAGACCAGTGCTTGGAGGCAGTGGGCAAGGACATCCACAACCCAAGGGGTGTTCTGTCTACTTCCGTGGGCCCCATGGCCAGCCAGCAGAGGAGCTGGGGATGTAAAATGTCCGTGCTGGGGATCTCAGAAAGAGCGTCTATCTCAACTTTGTCCATTTTACAAAGAGAGGAAAATGGAAGCTGCTCAGAGAGGGGCAGCGGGCGGCCTTGGGACACACAGCAACCTGAAGGCAGAGTCAGGATTTAACCCCAGGAGGCCAGGTCCTGTTCTGGCCGTCTGTTTCTGTGACTCAATGGGGCGAGGCTGCCAACCAGGAGCCAGCAGAATAGGAGACAGGTGCTTTCAAAAGTGAGTTCTAAGAAACCCCCATTAGAGCTCACAGCGTCACAGAACCTGGGGACCGACCCCAGAGGTCACTCAGGCAGATGCTCCTAGAGGCTCATCCATCTCTACGCCCTGGCTTTGCTTGAGGTAGTGACCACAGCAAACGCACCAAGTGAAGGAGCAAACCTGAGCTGGTGTTTTCTGGACTTTTAGCTGCCAATGTCCCCATTTTAACTCTTCTCTCCCAACCCCTTCCAGGGACCCCACTTTCTACAGAATCTCCCCCCTAACAAATGGCACCCCAGTCTCTCTCTTGTGCTGCCAGATGATGGGCATCCCCACACTGGACGTTTCTCAGCTGAACATGGACCAGCTGCAACATGTCATAGTGCTTAGGTGAGTATTTCACCTGGGGGTTTTCGGTTGGGGCGGGCAGGGCCAAGGGGGGTTGCGGCCCGTCTCTAGCTCACTTTGCTTCCTGCTCTTTGGGATCCCCTACTCAGGGGAAGGGCGATGTGCACAGCGACAGGTCAGTATCTGCTAAGAGGACTTTCAGTACTAAGAATCTGGAGGGGGAAAAATCAGGCTTTGGACTCAAAAGGAGACAAGCAGCCAAGATCATATCGCACCCTGGTTAAAACACGTCCACGGCTTTCCAGTGCTCTGAGGTTGAGCCCGAATCCTCAACGTGTCCTACTGGAGACTGCGGTGGCCAAGGCCGCAACCCCCCTTGGCACTGCCTGCCCTGGCTGAAAACCACTCAGTTGAAATACACGCCTAAGCAATACGACACTCGCAGGGCCACAGTCTCACTGCACCATCCCTCATAACCATCAAGCCCCAGCCACATCAACCTTCTCTCCTGTCCTCACGGTCAGCAGGCTCCTGCCCGCCTACCTGCCGTGTGACCTTATAGTCCACCTTGGAGGTCTGGGATACAGCCAGGATGGTGGTGCATGCCTGTAATCCCAGCAGCTTGGGAGGCTGAGGAAGGAGGATGGTGAGTGGGAGGCTGGCCTCAGCCAAAGCGAGGCCCTAAGCTCTTCTCCCTTGAGCTGTGCCTTCTGACTCCAACTCAGCCTCCACCCCATACAGGGGAGGCCCCTCCATTACTTTGCTGACTTCTCCCAGGGGCTCCTGTCACCGTCTCTAACACAGCCTTAATGGAGAGCACCACTCAGCACCTCCTTCCCCTCCTGGCCTCTCCACCCTATGCTGGGCCTGGTGCCTGGCACAGCCTGGACCCTGGGCACCTCCCTCATCAGACAGAGGCTCTGAGGGATTCTCCAGATGCACAGACACCTGGTCCTTGAGCCAGCCTGGCTGTCCAAAGTCTGAACCTGCCTAGTGAAGACATGGAACTTCCGGAAAAATACCCGTGCACCCCCATTCATGCGGGAAGTACTCCCCGTCGGGGCTCCTGGTGCCAGAAGAGTCGGGGGATGCCTGTGGCAGCCAGGACGGAGGTGTCGGGGGGAAGGATGGGCAGCCAGTGGGAAAGGCCAGTGGGTACATCTGCCCCCCAAGGAGAGCCCATTGGGAACCGCAGAGAAGAACGAGAAACTTCAATTTTTGCACATTTTAAACAGAGGCAGAAAAGGACAGTGGGAAGGTCACTGTCCCTTCCGCTCAGCTGTCAGAGGGTGGACGTGTGGCCATCTTCTGGAGGCTGGCCTGCCCTGTGTCTGGGGTGCCCTGGCTCCCTTCACCTCTGTGATGACGCTGGGGCCTCACAGGCCACGTTGGGGACAAACTGGTGGCTGTGGGGACCTGCGCCTGACCCTACCAGGACCACAGCCCCTGCCTCTCATGGCCTGGGTCCCGGGCTCCTCGGCCAAGCTGGAAGGACAGAGCTGGGGACAAGCCAGGCCTGGAGTGAGCCCTGGATTCCAAGAGCTGGAGTGTCACCCGAGGACATTGGCAGACGGAGCCCAGGGCAAAGTTGTGTCACCTGTTTGCAGGTGACGAATGCAGTGCTGCCCTGAAGAACCAGTTGCCATCCCAGCCCCCGCCTCCTCCCCAGGCCCCCACCCTGCTTTAAAGTCCCCCGACAGGTGGCCTTCGCAGAGACCAAGGACACGGGGATATCTCTGCCTCTCCGCGGCCGCGGGCTCCTGTTCCCTGAAAACCTGTGCAGGCTCCATGGTGGGCCAAGCATGCGGGACAGAGGGGACTGTGTCTCTTCCTGTGCCCCAGGAGTCACCCTCAGCCCAGAGGACGACCTCGGCTCGCGTGACAATCTCAGGCTCTGAGGGGAGTCCTGGCCTGGGTGCTGGGCATGTGCCCCTCTGTCCACAGACCAGTGTCACAGAAAAGTAGGGCCACCTGAGCTCAGGCCCAGCTGCTGCCACTGCTCCCTGCCTGCTCCCCAAACTGTGTCCCCAGCAGCAGTGGCACCAGGCCCTGCACTGCTTCCCAGGGCCTAGGAGACACCAAGAGGCACCACTGTGTCCTCTGCTGCCCTGTCAACGTCATCCCACACCCAGCAGAGCCCTTGGCCTGACAGGAACGCCAGCCCCGCAGAAGGGACACAGCAGTGAGAAGTGGCAGTCGCTCAGGTGGCAGGGGACGCTTGGCCCTGCTCCTGTGACCTCGCAGCCTCAGCTGGAGGGCTCATCTTGACCCACCAGGATATGTCAGTTGGAGAGGGACCCGAGCTCATGTCAGGGAAGTGCCCCTCTGTGTGCCCGCTGGACACGGGGCCGAGTGGCTGAGCTGGCCATGGCCTGCACAGCCTGGCTGCCCCGAGCACAGGACAACAGGCCCTACGCCTCCCTTCCAGGGGCCAAGGGCTGTCCCTGAATTCTCAGTGTCCAGGAGGAAGAGGAAGTGTCCCAGCAGGGGTGAGACCCAGCAGGTCCCCGAACTAGCAGCTGAAGACCAAGGAAATGTGTGAAGTGTCCTCTGGAGGAGGCTGGGAGGACCTTCAGACGGTCAGCACTGAAGGGGACATCCCTCCCAGGGCCACAGAGGCCCACAGGGCAGGGCCCAGTTTCCCTCTAGAGCCTCGAGAGTCCCTGCAGGAGGAGGAGGAGGAGGAGGAGAGGACGAAGAGGAGGAGGAGGCGGAGGGGGAGGAGGAGGAGGAGCAGGAGGAGGAGGAGGGGGGGAGCAGGAGGAGGAGGAGGAGCAGGAGGAGGAGGCAGGAGGAAGAGGAGGAAGAGGACGATGAAGAGGAGGAGGAGGGGGAGGGGAGTTGGAGGAGGGGGAGGGGGAGGAGGAGGAGCAGGAGGAGGAGGAGCAGGAGGAGGAGGAGGAGGGGGAGGAGGAGGTGGAGAAGAAGGAGCAGGAGGAGGAGAAGGAAAAGGAGGAGGAGGAGGAGGAGGAGGAGGGGGAGGAGGGGGAGGAGGAGGAGGAGGAGGGGGAGGGGGAGGAGGAGGAAGAGGAGGAGGAGGAGGAGGAGGAAGAGGAGGAGGAGCAGGAGGAGGAGCAGGAGGAGGAGGGGGAGGAGAAGGAGGAGGAGGAGGAGAAGGAGAAGGAGGAGCAGGAGGAGGAAGAGCAGGAGGAGGAGGGGGAGGAGGAGCAGGAGGTTATTCCAGAGAACTTCTGGGGACAAAGCTGTTCTCAGGGGGCCTGCCTCACAGGTTATTCTGCCAGAGGGCTGGGTGGGCCCACCTGGGGTCCTGCCTGCAAGGGGACACTGTTCCCCTCAAGATCCCACAGAAGGGAAGACACAGGGATGGCCCAGTGACCAGTGCATGTTCCAGGGAGAGGCGGCTAGGGCTCTGCAGTGGCCTCTCCCCTCAGCCTCCGGACGTAACGGAGACAGGCACCAGCTGCCTACATCTTCAGGCTGACTGGGAGGGGTTTTTCCTTTCTTTTTCAAAATTTTTAAAAATACTTAAGTATTTTTTTTTAAATGACGATGTGGCCCAGTGGCAGAGCGCTTGCCTAGCACGCCTGCGGCCCTGGGTTCCATCCCTGGTACCAAAAAAAAAGAGAGAAAGAAAGAAAATGGAGTCCTACCTCACCCCACAAACCCAGCGTATTGTTTCAAAGACTGAAGTGCAAGAGCTGGAATTTTAAGTCTAGAAGAAAACATGGATCTTCACGACCTCGATTTTTAACAGATTCTTAGATCTCACATCAAACACAGGAGCAAGGACACAAGGAAACAGAGACACCGCACCCCTCAAAATGAAAGCCGTGAGCGCAAGACGATGCTACCAAAAAATCAAAAGATGACCTAAGGAACAGGAGACAGAGGGCTGGTGTCATCAAGAAAGCGTGACAGTAAACCTGGGGCTGGGGCTGAGCCGCAGGGCCTGGCCCAGTATGTGGGAGGCACTGGCTCGATTCCCAGCACGGCCCCTGAATAAGTAAAGATCCATCAACAACTAATAAAAATATTTTTAAAAAAGATGAAATATGGGCCCAGGATCTGAGCAGACATTTGTCTAACAAAGCCACAGAAACACACGGGTGACGAGCACAGGAACAGTCACCACACCATCAGCCATCAGGCAGATGCCAACGGTCACCGCAGTGCAAAACCACTGTCCAAAGATGGCTAGAACTTAAGTCTGATAAGTACAAGTGTTGACAAGGATGTGGGGCAGCCAGGGCCCTCACGCAGGTAGGGGACATGAGGAGCCGGGGCCCTCCCTAGGCTCCACCGCAGGAACGGGGTTGCTGAGCCACTCGGGAAATCCGCCAGGAAGTTCCTGGATGGTTTCCACAGTCCCTGCAGACTCGGGGACTGCATTCCTGGGTATAGGGACGACAGAAGTGAGAACGGTCACTGAAGTGGGCCGCGTGAGAGAGCGGGTGAGGACAGGAAGGTGGTGGCCACAGGGCCCCGGTTTCTTTTGGAGATAATGACAACACTCTCGACACTGACCGTCGTGGTGGCCGGGCCTGTGTGTGGACACCAAAATCCACCAAGTCCTACCTTCAGGGGGCGACGCCCACGGTACCCGAGTCGCACTGTGGTCTAGACGTCACCAAGTGATAGGAACCAGCCAGGGGCACGGTGCAGCCCCCAGGCCCTCCCTGCTCCTCGACTTGCCTCCGTCCCATCACCTAGCACCAAGGTCACACCCAGGTCCCCTTAGCTGACACTTCCAAGTGTGTCCCTGACAGTGGCTAGTGCCCCTCACTTTGTACCTGTCCCAGCCCACAGGCCGTGACTTGGGGACCCCCACATTGAGACGGTCAGGAGGTGAACGGACCGGGGCTCACTGGACACCGCTCAGGGTGACACATGTGATCACTGGTGACACCATGGACTCTCTGCGGCAGTGGGTGAGGCCACCTCGCGGGCAGACGGCTCAGGCCCTGGACGCAGGCTGGGTCTGGACGTCTGCTGGCCTAGGAGGGCCGCCTGCTTCCCTAGGCCAGGCCCAGGGCAGGGACCGGCGGGGGGACTGCAGGTGGCCCCCAGGCAGGTGCCACCGCTGGGCCAGGGCCCCGGGAGTTGCACCAGCACCCACGCCAGGCGACCACCCTGGCCTCCTTGAGGTCCGTGGCCTGGTCCTGATGGTGGCCGCCTTGTGGGAACCGTCCCTTAGAACAGGGAGAGCAGTGCCTGGGCTCCGAGTGGCCCAGAGGCAACCGGCCAGCTGTCCCTCAGCGGCGCTGCCTGGCTGGACACCCCTGCTGTGTCCCCTTGGGCCGCCCTGTGTCTGACTCACTCAGCAGGAAACGGGCTCCTTCTAGAGAAGGTTCGGGCCCAGGTGACGCCTGCCTGTCACCTCAGGACTTGGGAGGCCTGGGACAGAGGATGGAAAGTTCGAGGCCAGCTGGGAAACTCAGGAGGACCCTGTCTCTAAGGACCACGAAGGGCTGGGGATGTGGCCCGTGGCAGGGACCCCAGAGACGTGGGGACAGGGAGCAGCAGGTGTGTCCTGGGTCCGAGAGGCACGATGGCTGCTAAGGTGCTGCCCGTGTGAGGCTGTGTCACTCTCAGCAGGACACTGAGGGACACCACTGCTGACAGGGCACGCAGCTGTGGACACGGACTAGAGATCCCCAGGTGGCCCTGCAGTGACAAAGGTCCCAGAGTGACCCAGACGCACTGGCGCTGCTCAGTCCCAGCTTTGGAAACGATCGGCCACGAAGCCCAGGGGACGGCCCACTGAAGAAGCCACCCCGTGCCGGCCGAGGCCCCGCTCACCGTGGCGATGCCCCTGGCCTCCTGGTAGGCCACCCTGACCACGTTGGCAGCGCTCGTGTTGAGGAAGAAGTAGCCGGAGCCCTCCTTGACGTGCAACTCTGCCTGGGGACGAGAGGCCAGGGGCAGCGGTCAGGCAGGGCCAGGGCCCAGGGTCTCCCGGGCGGGGCGGGGCTGGCGGGGGACCCACCTGGACATCAGGGTGGTTGTAGAGGGTCACCATGTCCGGATCCACACGCACGTCCTCCACCAGGACCAGCTCCACCGAGGCGGACACGGGCGCAGGTGGGCCAGGCTGCAGGGACAGGGAAGGGCCATCAGACCCATAGGCCACCCCTGGGACAGGGGCGGGATCCCAGTCCTGGCATTGCCCCAGGCCCCCGTGATGTCCAGGACACACACTGGGCCCAGGGCAGCCACCTTCCCATGAGGCCCCAGACCCCAGAGCTGGGAGGAGCCGTTCCCGGTGCCCAGCGGGCAGCTGTCCACCCCCACGGGTGGCTCTGGACATACCAGTGGCTTCACTGTGGCTGCACTGAGGTGGGACAGCTGGTAGCCGGTCACCGTGGCAGAGATGGAGATGGTCCCTGATGCCTCATGGACAGCAATGGCTTGCAATCCTGGGTCCAGAGGAGGACACCGACGTTGGGCCTCTGTGGTCACCCACCCCTCCATCATGGCAAGCCCCAGTGTGAAAGTCGGGGGGAGTCGGGAGTCGCCAGACCCTGAGTGGGGCCCAGGGAGCAGGGCTGGAGGGGACGGGCCAGCTTTGGCTGCTGAGGGGCCTGGGGACACACAGGGGCCACCGGGGACTCCCCACTTGGGACCTCTAGCTCCAGTGCACGACTGCAGCCCAGGGAGCTGCCCGAGCTTCGGTGCTGGACGAGGGGACCCCAGCTGGCCAAGGGGCGCCCCAGCTGGCAGAGGCTCTGACAGGTGCCACGCTGCTTGGGACACTCATCTGTCGGGGTTTCCCTGGTCCCCAGCCTCCTGTCCAGGGCTCCAGGCCCACAGCCGTGGCTCACCGTGAAACTTCCTCTGGCCACTCCCGTCGTCCCGGGACACCAGCTGCATGGGCAGGTCCAGCTCGATGCTGGCCAGCAAGGGCCAGGTGGATTCCCACTGGACGCCCAGGGAGCTGAAGTTGTCGAATTGGCGGCCCTGCTGGTCATAGGCGGCGAGGTCCAGCAGGGGGTTGCGGTGGCTGGAGACGGGAACCTACAGGAAACAGAGGTCAGGACACCCAGGCCTGGGCACAGCCACGGCTGACCACATGGTCTATCCTGAAGCTGGCGGGCTGCCTGTGGGGTCCTGATGGGGGAAGGGATGAGCTGAACACCAAACTCTACAGCTGCTGGCCACCAAGGCACCCTGCACTCAGGAGGCTGAGGCAGGAGGATCGCAAGTTGGAGGCCAGCCTCACCAACTCAGCAAGGCCCTGAGCACCTCAGTGAGACCCTGTCTCTAAATAAAATACAAAGAGCGCTGGAGATGGGGTTCAGGGGTTAGCACCCCTGGGTTTGATCTCCAGAGCCAAAAAAAGTTGGTACTAAGGAATTAAGGAGCAGAATAGTGGTCAGTAGAGGCCAGGGAGGCAGAGGAGGATGAAGAGCAGAGGCCAAAACAGTCAGCCAGGAACAGGGACTTCCCTGTCCCCCATGGCAACACCAGAGTCCAAAGGCTCCTGGCCGGGGCCACATCCCGGGGATCCAGGTGAGCTCAGGGGATGACAGGCAGGCAGTCCAACCTGCCCACCACCTGCACTGTGCTCTGCTAGTCCCTGGCCACCTCTCCAGGCCTGCCTCCTCCCTCAGCCCCTCTCCCACGCACCACCTGCTTGTCGTGCTGCAGCCGTGGATATGACGGGTCCAGCGGGGGAGCGGTGTGGACAGGCGTGAGGCTGATCCTGGATGGCGGGGCGCAGACGACCTTCACCACGGCAGGCTCCACGGCGGGGAAAGGGTTGGTGAGGCCAGCCTGGTTCCCCACGGAGAGGGCGATGACCTGGGGGTGGGGGGATGGCAGTCAGGGCACGTCCCCCAGGGCGCGTCCCCTCCTGTGCTCTGCTCTGCAGGACGGCTGTGATGTGGACACCCACGCCCAGTGGCTGCCAAGGGCCGGGGACCCAGGGGGCACGGCTGCACCTTCTCAGTGCAGGGCGCTGTGGACGCTGTGGATCCCAGGGCCTCTGTAGGGGACCCGAGGAGATCGGGGCACTGTGGCCTCCGGGACCCAGGAGCCCCCAGGATGCCCCAGCACATGCAGATGTCCCCAACATGTGAGGAGGGGACACGCTCACTGCTCACAGACCCTGTCCTCGGGGTGGACGGGAGGTGCTGCTCAGGACACAGGAGGGTGCAGAGGGTCACCCTGCAGGGCCCTGGCTGCCTGCTCACTGGCCAAGAGGGATCTCGGGGGTGGGGTCTGGCCCTGTGCATACGCCCTACGGGATGGGCGCCTAGGCCACTGCAATGCCACACCCCTCTGCAGAGGGCCCGGATCTGGTCCAGGTGCCCCGTAGGGCCACCAGGCAGGAGGGGGTGGGTCCCCTGGGCTTCCTTCTCTGTGCACTAATCTGGTCACACAAGCGTAGTCCTGGGCATCCTGGGAGCTGCCCATGGGACTCTGGACTCCACCGGTGCCCTCTGTACTATTAAATGTGCAGGGGACACCCCCGCCTCTCCGGGTCCACTCTGACCTCCTGCTCACTTTCCATGCCCTCTTTGGGGAACCCTGGCAACAGAGCGGTGGACCCCACAGAAAGACAAAGGGCGCAGAGCCCGTAGCTTCTGCCTGGCTGGAGGGCGCAGGTACCAGGCACCAGAGGACCTGCACCTCGCCACCCGCCAGGCCAGCCCAGGGGCTCAGGCCACACCATCCACTCAGTCTTCTGATATTTCTCGATTTTCACATTTAAAAAAAAAAATATGAAGAGCCAGGCACCCACGTGACCCACGCCTGTCATCCCAGCTACTCAGGAGGCTGAGGCAGGAGGATCACAAGGTGGAGGCCAGCCTCAGTAACAGCGAGCCCCTGAGCAGCGCAGTGAGACCCTGACTCTAAATAAAATACAAGACAAGGCTGGGACAGGGCTCAGTGGGTGAGGGCCCCTGGGGTCACTCCCTGGTGTACCCCCCCCAACAGGGATCCCAGGGGCAGGAACACAGGCTGTGCCGCGTGCTGAGCCCCAGGTGACCCCCCTGGTATACAGCCTCCTCACCCATGAGGCCCAACTCTGGGACCGTCAGGTTTTCTGCCCTGACCCCGACTCCGGCTGGGTGGGGGATTCTGCGGCCCTGAGAGGGACCCCCGGGGGCTGTCTCTGGGACAGCTGGTGGCCTCGGTCCCCACTCAGCCTGCCCGGGGCACACCGCCGTCCCCTCACCTGGCCTTCACTTCCCTTCTGCAACGTGGGCACAGCAGGACAGCACCCCCAGGGTCACCCAATCTCTGCGAGGTCCCCCACCTGGAGGCCCTGAGCAGCAGCCACTCACCTGCTCGCCCAGGGCCTGGCAGGTGGAGCAGATGCTGTGCTGCTGGTGACTCCGGGAGGCGGGCGGGCCAAGGAGGGCCAAGCTGATGCTGTCCCCGTCCTCAGAGGTGAGGTTCCGGAAGAACTTGGCAGGCTCCAGGACCCAGGGCCGGGGGCCTCCTTCAAACAGCATGTCCTTTGAGGAGCCCAGGGTGACCACAGCTACGGAGGACGGGTCCACGGCCTGGGAGGGAGAGGGGGGCCTCAGCCTTCCCCAGGCAGGGCAGGGGACAGGTGGGGCAGGGCCTCGGGGCCACGTCTTTGCCCTCTCTGTGGGGACAGCCCAGTGCCTGAATCCCCCGTGCAACCCTCCGTGTCTGGGAGACCCCAGGACGCAGCGGGCTCTGGAGGGAACCCAGCCTCGCTCCCCCCTGGCCTCTGAGGGACCCTTGGCTTGGCCTCCATTGGGACATCCGCGGGAAGAGCCCCAGGGAGCTGTGGGCACAGTGGCCCAGGGCAGCCGGCTCACCCTGAGGGGCAGGTAGGCGGTGATGGTGAGGCTGGCGCTCAGGTGGACGTGGCCATGCGTGTAGCTCACCAGGAGTGTGGTGGAGCCCCGAGCCTCGGCCTTCACCCGGACGCCACCACAGTGCTCAGGCCCCTGGGGCAGCCGCCCTGTGCCAAGGAGAGAACTGCGGTCACCATGGGAAGCTGGAGGGGCACATGGCTAGCTCAGGGCCCCGCCACCTGGCTGGACACACAGCTGATGCCAACTTAAGAGCCTTGGGGCTGGGGTGTAACTCAGTGCCTGACACCCGACCCCGAAAACAGACAAAGAATCAAACAAGTCACCCACCAAGTTGTCCTAAGGGAACGACTCACGGTCTTGTCTTTACCCCACAGACCTAAGATGGCCTGTAGCTAAGACTCAGGTCAAGAAGCATAAGATAGCAGGGTGGTGGCCCACGCCTGTCATCCCAGGGGCTGGGGAGGCTGAGGCAGGAGGATCGCAAGTTGGAGGCCAGCCTTAGCCACTCAGCGAGGCCCTAAGCAGCTCAGTGAGGCCCCGTCTCTAAATAAACAAGAAATGCAAGCTGGGACGGGGGCTCAGGGGTCTAGTATCCTGAGTCCCATGGCCGGTACCCACACCCCACAAAAATGACATTTCACTATGGGCACGAGGGTCCTTTTCTAGGCCGGGTGTTTTACCCCGTGGGCCTCTAAAGCCTGGCCACGACCACTGTCACGAGCTGTGGCCTGCAGCTCCACAGCCTGGAAACAGCAGTCACCAGCCCGCCACGTCTGCCCTCTCCCAAGAGGGCTTGGCCCACTCGGGTCCTGGACGGTCCACATTCCTGCCCCTCGGCTGGGTTCACTTTGGTCCTTTGGCTCCTCTTTAGGACCTCGGGGGGTTTTCTCCATGGACGATGATGTCCCCGGAAAAAGACTCTCATGGATCTGTTTATCTCTGTAGCAATGGCGTCCTGTGGCTCACACCTGATTTTAGCGACCAGTCCTTTATCTGAGACGATCTAGCCAAAGGGGTCTCAGTTTTATTGATCCTTCAAAAGATCCAACGTTTGGTTTCGTTAATTTCCTCTTATTTTCTTTTGCTGGGGGAGGAACAGGGATTGAGCTCAGGGGCCCTGGACCCTGAGCACATCCCCAGCCCTATTCTGTATTTTATGAGAGCCAGAGTCTCACTGAGATCTGTAGGGCCTGGCCATTGCTGAGGCTGGCCTCCAACTCACCATCCTCCTGCCTCAGCCTCCTGAGCCGCTGGGATGAGAGGCGTGGGCCCTGGCGCCCGGCTCTCCTCTGATCTGATCTGAGTGCTTTTCTTCTGCGAGACGGCACTGGGTTTAGCCTGTTCTTTTTCTGTTTCTGTAAGTACTGGACTTAGTTGCTGAGTCGAGCTCTCAGTCTTTTTGACTCAGCAGCCGCAGCTCTGCGCCCCCTGGAACCCAATGCTCTTGCCACACTTCCAAGTTTGGGTCCCTGTTTTATTTTCTTTTGTCCCAAGGACTCTCTGCTCCCCCGTCATTCACTGGCTGATCCACTGTGTGAACAAGCCAGTTTTCTTTTTGTCCCGGATTCCCACCGGTGGCCTGGTGTGGCCTGGTGTGGCCAAGGAGACACTGGAGGGTGCAGTCACACTGAGAGGCGGAACCAAAGAGGCCCGGTGACAGCCGACAGCCGACACAGAGACCTCAGAGGGGCAAGCGCTGCAGACCCTGCATTTTCTCTACATCCCCATCAATGTCATTCTCAGTGTGACAGTGTGACAGTGGCATCTATCACCAAGAGTGACTGAACAGGACGAATTAACACATCAATCCCCCAAGAGCGCCCTTCTGTGGCGTCTAACAGTGGAACTTCTAGAAAGGGGAAGCAGGATAATGGTGCTCAGGGACAGGGCGTGGGAGGGATGGGGCGGGGAGGGGTGTCCCTAGTCACAGGGAACAAAGGGTCAGATAGAGGGGAGACAGCTGCAGCGGCACAGCAGGTGTCCATGTGTGTTTCTAAGTCTCCCTGCATCTGAAGTGGTCAGCCAGGGCCCTGAGCTCACGGTGGGGGACGCGCTCAGGAGGGAAGCAGGCAGGACTTAGAGGCCTCTCAAGGTCACCAAGGGCAACACTGGTTAAAAATGCTTTTTTTTTTTGGTGCCAGGGACTGAACACAGGGGCCCTAACCCCTGAGCCCCGTCCCCAGCCCTATTCTGTATTTTATTTAGAGACAGGTTCTCGCTGAGCTGCTTGGGGCCTCAATGAGTGGCTGAGGCTGGCCTCCACTTTGCGATCCTCCTGCCTCAGCCTCCTGAGCTGCTGGGATGACAGGCATGTGTCACCGCACAGTTAAGAGCTTCTGAAGAAACAAGGCCGTCGTTGACAAAACTTACCCAGTTTAAGAAACTCTGCCACAGCAGGCGGAGGGACCGGGGACAGGGTCCCACAGATCCCTGTGAATGTCTCTGCACTGACCAGCAGTCCCTGCCTAAGATAACTATTCCTTAAGCCAACTGAGTCGTCCCCAAGGCCACACAAAGTCCTGCATGCAGTCACTTGGGAGCCTACAGGAACTTTCTGAGAGAAATCCTGACCCCAGGACTCCTGTCTCAACAGAATCCCCCTAAAGACGCAAGCGTCCTGGGGTGAGAGCCAGGCCTGGAGACCCGGCCACGGCAGGCAGCACTGGCCAGGACCTCTGCCCATGAGGCTGAGACAGACCGCAGCTTATGAGGACGCGGCCATGGCCACCCCAGGCTGGCGCTCTGCTGCCTCGGCCCCGCCCCGCCGGCCAGCTGCCCCGCCCGGGAGGGGCTGGAACACGCCCCGCTTCTCCACGTCCACCGCCAAGTCGAAGTGGGAGCAGTCGCTGAGGGTGACCACCTTGCTGTCCCTACTGGGCATGAGGCCGTTGATCCTCAGGGGCAGCTCCAGGGTCTGGCCCACTCGAGCCTCCACCCGGCATGGGGCGAAGTCCATGCTGCTGGGCTCGATCACATACACCTGCAGGAGGGCCAGGCCTGGGCTGTCAGCCTCTGCAGGAAGCAGCCTGCGGCTCAGTGGCTCAGTGTGCCAGGTGTGCTGTGGTGGCCCTGAGGACACACCAGAGGACAACCAGGCTGGGCACGGAGGATGCAAGCACAGAGCTGACTAGGAAGGGGATTGGTCTCTGAGAGGTGCACAGACATGAGCCCGTCAGCCCTGCCAGGTAGAGAAATGTCTCCCTGGGGAACAGTCAGGCCAAGAGACGGTCCTGAGATGGACTTAGCTGCTCAGCTCCTGGTAGGCACACAAAGGAGGCCAGTGTGACCACACGTGGTGGTGCACCCTGTCATCCCAGTGGCTCGGGAGGCTGAGGCAGGAGGATCGCAAGTTGGAGGCCAGCCTTAGCCACTCAGCGAGGCCCTAAGCAGTTCAGTGAGGCCCCGTCTCTAAATAAACTACAAACTAGGGCTGGGACGGGGGCTCAGGGGTTGAGGGCTCCTGGGTTCAATCCCCTGAACGCCCCATGGAAAGGACAGTGTGGCCACAGGGGGAGGAGGCCCAGAAGGCCATGGGCAGGGCCTGACCCCATTTTCACTCTGGCTGAGCTGGGGAGGCTGCAGAGGGCGCCACACTCTGGGTCCTGTGCAAAAATCGGCCACCAGGCGACTAATGGGGAAGCTGCTGGTGGGCAGCAGTGGCAGATCTGAGGGGCGACCCTGGACGGACAGCTCAGGTGGCCTGGGGCAGGGCGGGAGGCCAAAGTGGCCACTCACTGCCTGCAGCTTCTTGGCTCGCTCACCTGTCCCTCCTGTCTCCTGCCAGGCAAGCCCAGGGCCACCAGCCCCAGTAGCCCGAGGACCAGGAGGGGCTCTGACAGCCCAGCCCTCTCTGGGGGTGTCCAGGAGGGGACCACCTGCCTGGCCCAGGAGCTGTCCTGGGGCTCCAGGTGGCACAGGAACTGCAGGGAGGAGGGAGGCCGTGAGTGGCCACAGTGGACACCACACTGCACAATGGGGCTGCCCCCCCAGGGCCTCTGTCCAGGTGTCCACACATGGCCTGGGCTGTCTAGTGGGTGTGTGGTTCCCAGCAGGAGGCGGAAGGACCTGCCACCCATGTCCCAACCACAGGGACACAGCCTGTATCCTCTGCTGTTAGTGGGTCAAGAAGGGGAGCTCAGAGCGGTGGTCAGGAGGGGCTGGGGGCAGAGGCCGTGGGGGCAGAGGGATGGCCATCTGCCCTGCGTGTCAGGGAGAAAGTCCCAGGCGCAGCATGGCTCTGGGGTCTCGGGCCCCAGGGCCTCTCCCCGTGACCCAACAGCCCAGGGCAGGGTGGCCCTCTCTGGACCGGCTGACCCTCCAGGTCCTCAGGGTGCTCTGGTCTCCCGCCAGGACCCCAGCCCCGGGGCACTGGCCCTTCCGGCTGGGGCGAGGGTGCCAGGTCGCGGTCCCACAGGGCAGACTGGGCACTCCTGGCCTCCCGGCCACCCCTGGCCTACTGTCCATCCCGGGGTCTCACCTTCATCTCACCGAAATGCAGAGGGTTCTGGACATCCTGTGCCCAGACCACACTGAGGCCCGTGTCACTGCTTGTGGTCATCACGCCCTTGACGGTGACGGTGGCCACCAGGTGGATGGAGGAAGACCAGCTAAAGTTCCCGCTGCCCCCGTGGGCCTGGGGAGAAGAGCCACCAGGGAGCATGCAGTCACCGGCCGGCCTTGGGAAGTGGCAGGTGGGGGATGAGGTGCCCACTGCCGTGCTGGCCAGGGACATGTCCACGCTATGTCCACATATCACTGAGTCACGCCATGGCCACCACATTCTCCCAGCCCACCTGCACCTGCCCATGCGTGCCACCGACCCCCGGGAACGCCACCTGCTCGCACCCTTCTGCCCCACACAGGGACACACACAGATCCACGGACCCGTGGAAATCGGGGGCTGGAGGTGCCCATGGGCCCTTGAACCCTTGTTCCCATCTCCCTTCTGGTCCTCGTGTGCTGGGGACTTCCTGCTCTGGGGACATCTGTGCTCTGGGGACGTTTGTGCTCTGCAGACCTCATGCTCTACGGAACTCATGACTGCAAGACACAAACACGGAACCCTGGCCCTGGCCCTGGCCCCAGAGTCACCAGCAGACGCTGCTTCTGTGACCAGACATGAGCACAGGCCCTGGCCAGGTCCTGACCCCCTGCTGGGGACAAATGCCAGACTCGCTGTGGCCAGGTCAGGGGTTAGGATCCTGAACCCCAGAGGCCAAGATGGCACCAGGTCTGGGTGGGCAGGGACAGATTCTGGTGCAGAGACAGGCCACCTGTCATCACCAGGGGACCCACAAGGCCCTGGGACTGTGCTGACCACAGGGTGTGAGCCCCCTCCGAGGCCATGCCCTGAGGGAACATGGACGCCAGCGAGTTCAGACGCTTGGCGTGGACAGGGTTGCAGAGAGTTTTCCCTTAAAATCTCAAAGTTCTCTCTGGTGCACTTATGCTGCTCCACATGTTTTACACAAGTGACTGCCGAGTGGGACTCGAGGCCCTTCCAGGGCTCACTGTGGTCTCCAGCTAGTGTCCACTGTGGGCTGCTTCCCTGGCAACCCAGAACACTGCAGTGACAGGGACCTCAGGGAACACAGGACCACAGCCCCTGATACTTGGTAGTACCACAGAGAGCAACGCCAAGGGTACAGAACAGCAGGCATGTTGCACCTGGAATCCCAGCAGCTGGGGAGGCTGAGGCAGGAGGACCAAAAGTTAGAGGCCAGCCCCTCAGCAACCTAGTGAGGCCCTCAGCAACTCAGCGAGACCCTGTCTCTAAATAAGATATAAAAGGGCTGGGGATGGGGCTCAGTGGCCAAGCACCCCCAAGTTCAATCTCTGGTTACCAAAAAAAGTCACAGAGCGGACAGAGGCCACATGCCCGGGAAGCCCAGGT